AAATTTGCGATATAGAATATCAGTTTGTGTACAACATTTCTTAGTTAGTACATTTATTTCTTGTAAAGCAGTGAATGAAACCAAATGTTAGACAATAGCTATGTTGAACTATGACCAAAGGTCCTAATCCAAAATAAAACCAATAATATATAAATAAGACATAGTGTCAACAACGACGAACGTGTTTCGAATATTTTACCCAACAAACTAGAGTTAATAACCATAATTATGTTTACATGCCAACAATTTAAATTTCATTTGCGCAAACGAAGTCGCGTACACGAGACAAAACAAAATAATACAACTACATTGCTCAAATGATATTGTAATTCAAAAGATGCTATACAATGTTCTCTGTTTATAGGTAAAAAAAAACTCTACACACCCATTTTCCGTCCCAGTAACGGAAGCATTCGTGATTTTGTGATTTGCGAATGGTAATACGAGGTTGAAAATGGGGTTCTCTTCAGGCACTCTAGGTGAGCATTATTCAGTCGCACTTCTTCGAAGAAAGCCCAGTAGACGTCAAGTTAGACCTGAATTGAGATATGTAACCACCTTTTTTATCGTTCTTTGAGCAACATTCATGGCCTCTCTGTAAATATAAAAAATCATCTTTATTTGTCAACAAAGATAAATGTTTGGGGAAGATAAAAAAGTACATATACCATGTAATTGTAGAATCAATAGTTTTTTATTAAAAAATTCGAATATTCGTAATCGACAGAAAACCATAGAATATCACAGTACCCATAGTATACCACAGTACTACATAAATTATACATACAGTTAGACATACAAAACTCATTAGCAATAAACTAACAAATAAACAATATAGGCCAGCCTCTCAATTACACAGAGAATCATATAATAGCAACTGTTTCGTAGGTCGGTAACATAGGTCAGCAAAAATGAACAAATCGCACAACAATATAACTATAAGTAAATTTATACAATTGTCATTTCATAGACTGCTATAGAAATACAATATCAATTCATAGACTACCATAGAAATATTACAACATAAACTACAATAGCAATTACTATGCCACAACAACAAATACCCAGAAGCATATTCAATATACAATTTTCTTCTACCAACTACTTTGTAATCAGCCAAAATAAACGAATCCCAGCAATACATAACTACAGCCGTACAAAATACCTTACCAGTTTACGGAATACCATAGAATTGCAGTGAGAAGTTCATAGACTACGATAGAAATCTTAAACATAAACTACCATAACAGTTACTACACCACAACCCACTGCATATTCCCATAGACTACAATAGAAATACGCCTAAACATATCACTGACTATAACTATAATTGAAAAAATATGCAGAATGTAAACACAGATAAGTAAATTCCAATTAGAGATTCAAACCACCAAACTATTTTCATAGACACCCAATGATTGAACATAATGAAACAGAAAATTGCACATATGCACAATCTAATCTGGATCTAGCACATTTATGTCCTACTAACCCTTCATTCGCATCTCCCCTGCATATTAGATTGTGTAAAACCCTAATTTTTAAGTTTTCAGAAAAAAAATTCAAAACAAAACTCACTCGATCTGTTGCGTGACGTAGATATTCGTAGACGTTTGTGACGACGAGGAGTTGGATTTTGTTGCTGTATAGTACTTTCAGAATTATTGCCGCCGATTCGCAGTAAAGAAGAGGAAGACGACCTTAATTTGGGGGAAAAGGAGGGGGTGGTGGTTTATGGCACGGTTATTATGAGATTTATGATAATAGAATCACAGAGATTCTTAAGGCCGAGATTGGTGGGATTTAATTTCAACTTACCAAATACCAAACTACACGGCGTTAGTATCACCGTAAGGGTACTATAGGAATAATTTCACAAAAGGATGTATTTCTAATGTTTTAATATCCTTGGGTGTAGCATCTAATATGTTTTCCCACTAGGGATGCATATCTTAAAGCCCCTAAATTTAATTAGGCTCATCATTTGGTCTTAATAAATTTTAACATGAATCTTATAATATTATTGTTAAGTTTTACTAATACATTATCAGGGGAAGAGCTCGTAATTTTTTATTGGAGGAACCAAGACATATAGTGGGATTAAAAAGTTCATAGAGTTCAGGAATATAATCAGCCCCAAATTTTTTTGGGTATTATTTACAGAAATAACACAAAATTATTCAATATATGTATATATCTAACTAGGAAGACGTAAATGTACATATATCTGGATTAAAAATAGTTTTGCAAATAAATTCATTCTTATATTTTTTTTCTAAAATACCTTTATGATATAATTTAAATCACTTTCATCCATTAAACTCCAACTTCACCATTCTTGCACAATAACAAAAATCTATTTGAATTTTTCTTTTCTAGCCATTCGCTGGACGGCGTTGGCCTTTTAACAACTAACACAGTAATTTTACTGTATGAGACAATAATATTGCACTGAGACGGTAAATTAGTGTCTGATACAGTATTATTGCGGGTTGAGACGATAATATTAATATTAACACAATAATATTACTGTATGAGAGAGTATTTATTATTATCAACAGTATAATAGTACTGAAAAGAATAAAAAAAAAATCAACGCCGGAGACATGCAGTCAACAACGACTGACCTGTTTGGGAAAAAAAGATTCAAACCAAAAAAAGAATCAATCGCTGAGACCGATGGATGACCTATCGGAAAAAGAAAATCATAAAAAAATTAAATAAAAAGAAGTCAACATCAGCTGACCGTTCAACGGCGGCTGACTGGTGGTCAGGCGGTCAAAATTGATTAATTAATGAAGTTAGGGCTAAATGAGGGTTCAAATCATAAAATTAAAGTTGAATTCGAGTGTCAAAAACTTATGGGTAATTTTGATATATAAGAAAACGTTTTCAATGTTAGCAAATTAAGTTTGAATGATGTAAATATATTTGCAAGACAACAAATTAGAATATTCTTATTTTCATTAAGTACCCTAATCATTAAATATTTTTTGCAATTCACCCAATTGAAATTAGGGGAGCTATACCATTTCATAATATAATCCGTAAGCTTTAAAATCGATATGGTCGCTTTCGTGATTTGTAAAACGAAATTAATTCGTTTCAAATATTTTTGATCAATTGATGTAACACAAGGGCCTTCAAAGCATTTATATTATTTATTATGTGGACTCAAGCCTCCCTTCAATTACAAATTATTTCATTATATTTTACATATATTATTATTTAGTCTACCCAATTTTTATTATTTAGCCCAATGTTATTAGGACCGGACCGGACCGGCCGGTCCGACCGGTCCGACCGCGACCCGCAACAAAAATGGGCCGATCTGATGCCTAAAACCGGAAAAGTCAAAAACCCGGGCCAAATCACAAAAATCCGGTTCGACCGGTGAAAACCGGCTAACCCGTAAACCGGTCAATGACCCGGGTTTTCATCGAAAACACTTCGTTGGTGGCTATTGGCGTGGGATTCGGGTGTAATTCACCGGGGATGGCCGGATCTAGGTGGAGCAGGCGGTGGGTGGCCGGAATTTCATAGATCTAGCCGTTGGTGGCCGGAATTCGACGGGATTAAGAAGAAGAAGATGGAAAAGAAGAAAAATAATAAAAATAAAAGGAAGATAGACGGTACAAAAACTAGAGTATTTTATGAGCAAGAAAGAGAGAGATAATGATGAAGATGATGGGTAGGTGACGGCCGACATGAGAGAAAATGTGGAGAGAATAGAGAGGAGAGAGAAGAGAGCGTAAAAAAATACAAAAGAAAAAAAGGCATTGGGATAATAGAAATAATAGTTTATATATAAAAAATAAATAATAAAAGTAAAGAGAGTGTAAAAGATAAAATATATATACAAAATACAAATTTAAAACATTAAAATTAATAAAATAATTAAAAAAATAAAAAATCCGGGTCGAACCCGGTTGAACCGGTCCAACCATGACCCGAAAGTCTATCCGGTTTTATGTCCGGTGCGGTTCTGATAACATTGATTTTTAGCCAGAGGCGGCCCTGGCCCAGGGCGAGCTGGGCCCATGCCCAGGGCCCACCAAAGAATGGGGCACAAAAAAATTTTTTTTTTTAGTATACGTAGGGTTAAAAAAAATAATATTTTTTTCCCTAATTTTCCTTTCTCCTCAATAATCTGAATCTGCCGTGTTTATTTCAATTCCAAGATTTTTTTTCTCCCTATGTTACGCAATCAATTCAACGGCAAACCCCTACCTTCAAGCCCTCAATTTATTTCTCCTTTTTTTTTCTCAATCAACTCAACGGTAAATTCCTATATCCAAGCCCAAAAGTTAGCTTCTCAAAGCATATCTTAGATTTCCAAGATTTGCCTCTCCAAATTCTTCTTCTTCACAATGTCGATATATTGGATGTTTACATCAATATTTTTCATGTTCAATTCCAAAGCAAAAGATAAATTTTATTCAATTTCATTCTCCCAAAGTGAGTCAATAAACCTCAAAGAACGGTTGCATATTTTCGGGCGAAAGGACTCTAACAATTCCGGTCATCCTATTTTCGGTCGAAGGACGGTCTCCAACGATTTTCTTCGTTCTTACAGTAGGTTCTTCTTTGTATCGTGTGATTTTACTAGTTTTGTTGTGTTATTTTGTTGTTTTTTTTTTTTTTTTTTTTTTTTTTTTTTTTTTTTGAGTTTTGCTACTTTTTTTGGGTTAGGGTACTTTTTTTCCTTCTTAGGGGTTTTGTCCTAACGGGTTTTTCCCTAAGAAGGTTTTAACGAGGCCCAAATAATTATAACCCATTTTTCTGTAAACTCGTTTTATTGTAATGAATCTACGACGAAAATTATACGTTTCATTATTTTAGTGTACGTTTAGAGAAAATTAATTAAATTCCTTAACTGAGGGCACATTTTTAATTTTTCGCCCAGGGCCTTCAAATCGTCCGGACCGGCCCTGTTTTTAGCCCACCTAAAATATAAATTATGTAAAAAATACCTAAATTTTTTTTCTCTTCCTAGTTTATTCAAAAAAAAAAGTCCAAATTTTTTTTTTCAGAGGCTCTGTCCCCAACCCCCGGAAATTTAAGCCCACCCTGTAGTCATTCCCTGGACTTGTAGTAGGCATGGAGATATGTAGAGAACATATATGATGCACTGCAGAAGATGCTAACTAAATTTATAATTTTTAAAATAACCTTTTGTTATCCAGAGCTTAATAGTATTGCTGGTGCATTTGCTAAGATGGGGATTACTTTAAGATTTATGGGGAAAAAAAACAATTAACCAATCACAATATTGAACTCTTGTTAAAAAATACATATTATTGAGGGCTATATTTTTTACTTCAATGGAAAATAATTTTGAGTACTAGAATTCTTTTATTTGTTCATAAACTTGAAATTAAACTAAAAGACGACATCCAAAATTAGTAGTGGTACACGGTAACGTTGCACTGTATGACCGCGTAATGAAGTGCATGATCATAGTGCAATGTCTCAAAGGTAGCATAACCACGTGCCAAACGGAATATTCCGGTGCCGCCCACCACCGCCACCTCCCTCACCCGCTCGAACTGAGCACTAGTACCCTGTACTTCCAGAGTGCTACCTCTATACTCGTTATTAGTGAACACGATCGATATTAAGACGTGTGTATTCGACCCGTCTAGGGCTGATGTCACATACAAACCTTGAGCTCGGGCTATTTGAGCCGAGCTTTCATCGAACCCTTCGGTTATTGGATCGTCCGTACAAAAGATGGCTCCAAATTTGGTGAAACTGAGAAGCCCGTTTGGTTGGCCCGTTATTTCGATCACGGTGGCATTAGGCCCACCGGAATAATCTTGAAAATAAAATGCCATTTTGGTTTCTTTGGGTTGGCTGAGCTCTGAATTAGAACATACGAAGATGATTAAAAGTAGAAATGAAGACAATTTGATTGAATTAGATGCCATAGAAACAATTTTACTCTTATAGTTTGTTTGTTATATATATATTTTTAGTTATCTCAAAATTGTTCATTTATAGTGTTGAGGTTTTGGAATTCTCATCCGAAGACAAAAATATGGATATCTATATATCGATACATACATAAATATATGTATATAAATGGATTAATTTTGTCGGTTTGGTCATAGGTTTTAACTTTGATTGTTCTGCACATTGGCAGATAACATAGGCTACAAACTATTGTACTGATATTTTAATTTCATGATTTCACTAGTCTCATAAAAAATAAAAATGCCTTTTCTTGTATTTTTGCTAAACAATCACTACGCGGAGCGCGGTCTGCTTATTTCGCGGACCGTATTTCGCGTATTAAGGTCTTGGTTCGGAAGCTTAACTCTCGTAAATTAAATTCTCGTTCGAGAGAATCACTAATTATTAAATAAAAGCTGTAGCCAAAAGCACATACTGTAGTTTGCATATCTTGTTGATTGTGGTCAGCTTATTAATCTCTCTGTTCAGTCCAAGGGCTTAATTATTAACGAAGCTCTCGACCAAAAAATACAGAACATGATCAACATATCTTGCAAATAGCAGACCGCCGAACTGATCTCTACACCCCCAAAAAAAAAAAAAAAAAAAAAAAAAAAAACTACATCTCTTTTCCACACAAAAAATGGACCTGATGCTGCATCTACAAGAATCGTAGCTTACAAAAAAAAAAAAAAGAATAATACAAAAAAATGGGACTTGTTTATAAAAATGTCCCAGAAGTGAACGTGAACACACCAGATGATGAAAAGAAACAAAGAAAAAAAATAAATAAATAAACACCCAGAGTCTCAATCTTTTGCAGAAGAATTATGGGTGTCTGAACCTGTGGGGATAGAAAGATTGGTATCGAGCATGAAAGAAAGATCATGCATCTGGGAAATCAGCATCATCACTTCATCTTTTGTGGATTTTTCAGAAGCATCCACCACATTTTTTGCAGCTTCGTTACCATCACTTAGCCTGCAGTTTCATGATACCGTGTTAGGAATGATTGAAAACAACAAATGAATCCATCGTAAAATCTTTTCACTTATTCCACTAAAACTTTGAAGATTTTCTCTTCTATTAACATCATGAAAATTTCACTCCAAATTTCACATTACATACAAGACAGCGTTTTTTGTTTTTTGTACCAGAAGAAGCTATATCTTATACAGTGGTTAAAAACGCACCACAACCCAAGCGTTTTTAGTTCTTTTGACTTCGGTAATGATTCCTAATAGAGATGACTAGACAAGGAGGATTTCTCAACCCTATCTAAGAGTGAGATGAAGTGAGAGAGAACCTTCTCGACTAAGCCTAATCGAATATTTATTGTGAAAAAATGCATTTGAAGCACTTGCAAAGTTTCAAGTAAAATCAATTATGGGGTAAGGAACTACTAAGACGATAATTTCCTCATATCCATACCATAGTAAGTGTATTAGTCAAAGTAAGAATCTAGAAAAACAAGGAACAAAAGACCTCTTATGCACCTCTAGAGAAGAACTAGTTATTAATTGTTTTCAACAATATATATTCAACAGAAAGGAAATCTTATTTATCAAGAGAAATAACTTCATATTCGACAGTAATAAAAGCATGAGAAAGAATATCGAGTAAGCAAAATAAGTACGCACCAGTTTGGAATTTCTGGCACAATAGAATTGGCTTCTGTAAGGACATTGCTATTGCTAGTTGAGGCAGAAAACAGATTTGGTTGGGAAAATCCACCGAAATCTACTTCCACAAAATGATTGTTCGAGCTGAAAAAATCCATCTCCGACGACTTTTGTTCAGAAGTTGAAACTTGATAATCACCTCCAGTCCAAGCACTTTGGGAAGCAACTTGAGAGCTGGTAGAGCCCGTAAAGTCATCCCATTCTTCGAATAAATCCTCATCCATTGTCTTATTATGCTCCTCAACATCGATCTTATTCTCAGCCATATCTCGATAGTTGGTAGGAGATTGAAAGTCTTGAAACAAATCATCGCCGATGGAAAGATCCTTAGAATATTCCAATCCACGCTCCTCGACATTGTTCTTATTCTCAGCCATCTCTGAATAGTTGGTAGGAGATTGGAAGTCTTGAAACAAATCATCACCGCTCGAAAGATTCTTGGAATATTCTAATCCATAATCATCCTCCATGCCGTTCTTAGTGCTGACAGTAGCATCAATCACACCAGAAAAATCGGACTTGTTAGAGCTCAGGTTATTCCAATCCCAGTCATCAAATGCTGGAGAAACTGCTGGATTGTCGTTTAATTCCCCATCATTCAGATCTTTTCCAGGTCCAAACACGGAATCTATCTCGTCTGAAAGATCGACCTTCAAACCGGTTGAAGGGTCTAAGGATAAAGGATCCTGGAATTTAATTCCAGAACTAGCTGAGGAATCTGCAAATTGCTCAGATGATTTGTCACCAATGTGTTGATTTTCAAAATCGGCAGATTGAAAATCTGCATCCCACTCGGAAAAAGCTTCACTAATCTTGTGCTCGGAAGAGATTTCAGCTGGATTAGATGATTGAACATTTTGAAATAAATCTTGATCTTCAAAAGCTGCAACGTCTTTTCTATCAGCAGTGTGAAACTGGTTATGAATAAATGACTTTTCAATGGACGTATCAGAGAGGACGTTGCCCTTTGAATTAAGAAAGAATTTATCGGGAGCGAATCCAGGTAAACTCAAGGAGGATCTTTTAGTCTCTTCTGAATGCTTGTCTGAGAAACTAATCTCGTCCTTATCTGATTCAATTGGCCATTGTATCTTAAAATTTAAGAAATCAGACAGTCTGGGTAAGGCTTTAGGAGAGCGCTGTACTTGATCTTGATCACCTTTGTTCCCGGGATCAACCATTTCCTGCAAAGTCATCATGCTATTAATTCGATTGTTATGGTCATTCCTCTAAAATGACAAAGACAAGCACATGCGTTTCTTTCCACTAAAAAAGAAAAAAAAAAAAAAAAAAAAAAAAAAGATACTGTGGCTTGAAGACGAAGACGATCAATTCTAAAGACAATAGAAAAATGCTTTCTTAATAATTTTACTGTCTTCAACAAAGTCCCCCAATGCCTACCTACTTTGACATTATTATTCAAGAGAGATTCGTTAAATTTAAAAAAAAAAAAAAAACAAATCCTTCAGTTTCTAGGAGAAGTGATATCTTACTCAAAAAAAAAAACAAAAATCTTCCATTATGTCTTGATCTAATCCAACAAGAATCTGGCAACAACTTAACTTTCCAAAGAAACAAAATTTTAACCCAAACCAGAATGGAAAACAGAAAAACCCAAACATTAGAAGCTTCGACTTTCCTTGAATGATGTCTACACTCTTAGCAACTCAATTATTTACTGCTAACCAATAAACTAGAATTTGATCAACTTATTTTTAAGCTATACCAATGGATTATTCACTCAAATCCAAGTTTATGAATGCATTGATGCAGAAGAAACTAGACGCTGGCTTACTTTATGTTGAAATTTGACGCTACACCAATTGAATGTTTGAGTTATTATTGAAGTTCAAGTTGATGAACCCTTTGATGTTGAATTAATCTTAACCGAATATAAATTAAGCTACGACAAAGATCTAGGACTTTGATAGCAAGCACTTTCTCATTATCAATACCTACTAGTCAAACATGAAGACAATCCTGTAAGCATGCATCCCTTCATCATTTCGAAATTAATAACTTTTGATAATAAATTGCAATTACTGCATGCCTAACTCTCTACAAACTGCTTCAAGAAACCCCTCTGCTCACAAACATTCTATGACTATACAATTCGAATCTAGTGAAACAGCCTTATATTAACAGATGATGAAAGAGGAAAAAAAGGAAAGAAATTACGGCAAAGGTTGGATGGTAACTAACACCCATTTATTATGTGCCCTTTAAAAAAAATCTACTTAATTAATTCATTTGAAGCCATTTCATGAATAAAATGTGACCAATTAACCGACAGCAGCATTGCATTGGTGACATTCGGCTGAAGTATACAAAATGGATGAGCATGGGACTAGTATTTCCGCTTGACCCAATACAATCACACAAGACTCGCATAAGTCTCGATTGTTGATTGGGGTTATTTTGAAGTAAATACTCGAAACAAAATGTTGCCTAAAAACATAGGTTAGCAGGGCAACAAACTCCAATGTCAAATGCTACAAATGGCTAAAATTCCGTCACAAGCAATACAATTAAATTAACATAACACATAATAAATTCAAAAAACATAAACTTATCATAATGAATATCTCTTTACAAAAAACCAAAAAAAAAAAAATTGCAAACAAATAATAAATTCATTGTGTTAAGCCAAAACAGAAGCCTAAGGAGCTGTTCAAACATAAACTTATCATAATGAATACTAGTACTCTACGCTTGAAATGTTGCACATTGAAGTTCAATACAGGAACCCTAAAAATAGAAATCAGGTTTTTCATAAAAAGCATACCGATCCATTGAGACGGAGAGAGCGGAGCAACCACTGGTAGCCGACGGTGGAAGTAAAACAGATGGGATCGGGAACGACGTCGTAATGGGGACCGATGCCGCAATAAACGCAGATGATGGACTCTGATCCTCTGAGGAGCTTCCCTTTACAATTTTTGCAGCGGTCGGGTTCGGTGGTGGCAATTGCGGCGGAGAGAGACGGCAGAGCGGGTAGGGTCGGGTCCGACGGGTTGTAATCAGAGAGACCCGCATCTGCACGGGTACGGATCTGGACCTCGCGGATCAGTTGATGAGGGATTTCGGGCATCTCTGCTCATCAACTACTTTCACACACACTGTCACTACGATTTTTCTTTCTTCTAAATGTGTCTCTTTTGTTTCATTTACGGTTTGAAGAAATGGCCTCACTCGCAGGGGTGGTAAACCACCTGAACCGGTTCACCAACTCCACTAAAGCTCGAACTCGAGTCTCATTTTAGTTTTTCGACATTTCGCGAGCCTGCTCACGAGCTTCTTGTTTTTTTATTTTTTTTTACTTTTATATATATTATATATATTATAAAATAAAATAAAGTAATAATAATATTAATAATAATAAAATTATGATTATGATTAATTATTATTATGAATATTATTATTATTATTATTATTATATGATCTAATTACTTTTAAAGCTCGAACCGAGCTCGAGCTCGAGCCTTCGAAAACATGCGAGCTCGGCTCGTTCATGACCCTAGTCTTAGTATGATATATATTTTATGGCAAATTACGGCCACCCTATGAGGTATGCTCAAATTATGAAAAAATCCATCTTATTTGGATAATTACAACCACTCATCAACTATATATTGACTTACACACGTTGACCCTTACGGTATCAAATTTACCAACTGAATTAGGGGTTTTTTCGTAAGATAATACATAATTGAGGGTGGTTATAATTATCCAAACATGGGAGAAATTTTTTCATAGTTTGAACTTACATTAGAGGAATGCCCGTAATTTGAACATACCTTAGAGAATTTGGGTTATCAGGAAAAGACAGAGAAATGACGACGTGAGCGGCGGAGGGTACCTGCTCGCCCGAGATTTGCATAAAATATGGACCACAACATTATAAATAAAGGGTTACACACACTAAAACCAGGTTCATCGATCCTTTTCACCATAAAATATCTAAATGCACCTTTAAGTTGCTCTTTGCCCACCGCGTTCTGTCGGAAAACTAATTCTGGCGCCAATCCGATTCTTCTCAAATATATCTACTAATTAGGCCCACTAAAAGAAAGCCCAAATACCTCCAAAGTAAGGCTTGGGCCCAACAAAGTAAGCCCAACCCAATCACCGATATATAAATAGGTGTTTTATTCATTTGTAAAGGTACGTTCTCATTTTTATTTCACAATCAATCTCGAGATTATTCTCTCTACTCTTTCTACGATCCATACATCCGATTTGAGCGTCGGAGGGGTTTCCGCCGGATCAACCCCCGGCTTAGTTCACGTGTGCTCTTTTCGCAGGGACTTCATGATCATCAAGTTATCAAGCTACTGATCCGCTTTGCTCTCCCAGCTCATTTTCTATACCACCCTAGGTGAGCTATATTTTAGCATCATCATTCTCTTTTTTTGCAGCATATTCACTCGAGGAGGCAACACATCATTTGGGTGGATCAATTATGAATAAGCTTGATTTTACGATCTTGATTGATAATTTTGCAGTTCAAAAGGCAAAAATATAATATTCTTAAGATTATTGTAGGTACTTTTGTGTTGAATATCTACAAATTATGAATTTAGATATATTTTATATGTTTTCGATGTTATTATTTTCTTGGTTAAGGAGCCTCGTTTTAAAAAGAATCATTTACACCTTAGGCCTCTCGGACCCTGGGACAGTCCCTTGTTTCAAAATAGATTTCATCCATTGACTTTTGAGCGACGTTGACTGATAGTAAGATCATGTATTCTTATTGTCTTATTATAATTGTCGAATGAACAATAAGATTACGTATTCTTGCGACATGTTATATTTTGATCCTGACATTTGCACACAAACTTCAATTGCATTTCATCTTTCTTGGTTTGTATTTTTGGAGATTTTATTTGAATCATGGTCATAAATTGCATTGAATCTGACAAAATTAGGAATATGATGTCAAATAAATGACTAAAATAAACACGCAAAGAAGAGAGGGGAAGAAGAAGGAAAATGAGACAAATACATTTTCTCGGCGCAGGAGCCTTATTGGCAAAGTTGGATTCGTCGTCCACTTCTTTGCACCAGCCATCACCTCAACATCCACGGCGCCACAGCCTTGGCCTAGCTTAGTCCTCGTCTGTACATTAATTTGCGCCTTAGCATTCAACGCCACCATCCGCTACATGTGCGCACGACGGTGGCAGCCACGGACGCTGGCTCATCGACCATTGTGCATCCTAACCATCGATCTAGTATTTTAGAAAGAAGAGAGAATAAGAGAAGATAGTGAAAATATATATTTTTTGGATAGAGAAAAAAAGAGAGAAGAAGAAAAAACGGCGCAAGAGCACATAAGTGATAAATTATAGTTAAGGTATAAATTATTAAAGCTGTAATTAATAATTTGCTATTATTTATCATCTAAGCTAACAACAAAATGGATTATCTCAAATTAAAAATAAAAAGAGTTTCTTTCTACATGAATTTGCCAAATGAGGGGTAATGTTAATTTCTCCTAGTTTTAAAAGTTCGATTTGAGCCCAAATTAATAATATATGAGTCGAATTGAACCCATAACTATAAAGTTTGTTGCGCGTATGAGTTTGAGCTTATAATCGTAAAACCAGATGCTAGAGTCGATCAAATTTCGGCTTTATGTTTATTTATTTATGAGTTAAATACAGTTTACACCCCTAAATTATACTCTATGTAACACTTATCTCCTAAAGTATTATTTGTAACACTTATCCCCTCAAACATGATTCAATTTGTATGTTAAATTCTAATACCCTAAAAATTTCTCTTTTATTGAAAGAAATAACTAATCGAATAATAAAATTATACAACGAAAAATATCTGTTGAAAAATGCAATATTTTAAAATATAAAATATAGCCATGACTATAAATTTAATAAATAACATCAAATTGTTGTTGGACCAATTAATCAAATACATTCATATCGATAAATTTTAAGAAATCAACACATAATTAACAGTAATCTCAAGTATTTTAAACTTATTTTAGTTCATTAATTTTTTAAAATATATTTCATTCATTATTATGCAATATATATTACTTTTTAATTTTTTTTTCTGCAATTTAATTTTAGTTACTTTTCAATTTTTATGATGTTATAATGTTTTAAATTTAAAACATTATGTTTATTATGTTTAAAATTTAAAAATAATAATAATTAATGTTGAGAGAATAAATGTTACAAATAATATTTTAAGAAGGCAAGTGTTAGGTGGGCTATAATTCAAGGGTGCAGAATGTATTTAACCTTTTATTTATTTATGTTTAAAAATTTGGAGATAAGATGGGCTTTGAATCGTCGGGCCTATAAAGTAAGACTGTTTGTTGATGGAAAGGCCCAGACCCTTCTCGAACTCCCAAAATCACCAGGTGGAATTCCACTTTTTCTTCTTCTTCTTCTTATATATAATAGAGAGAGAGAGAGAGAGAGAGAGAGAGAGAGAGAGAGACGAACAGGAACAAATCTTTCCGTCCAAGAAATCTGGAATTCGTTTTCCCATTGTCAACATAAAAATTTGAGATCAACAAACACCGATGGATTTCGAGTTGAAAAGGGCGAGAGAGAAGTTGGAGAAGGAGCAAAAAGAGAGGAAAGAGAAAGCCAAATTGAGATTGGAGAGAGAGAGAAAGGCAAAGCAAGATGCCCTCCGCCAGCAGGAAGCCATTGAAGCAGCTCAGCGCCAGCGCCGCATCGTCGCCGCCGAAGCCGAAGCCAAGGTCCCACTCTCCTCATTCACCCTCTTTCTTTTGCTTCAATTTTCTCCATCAATCAATTTACTTTAATGTTGATGTTTTAGCTTAGTTCACAACCCTAGAAGAGGCTTTATTGCAGGGGGATTTTGTACAAAGTCAGTATTTTGGGATGTTTTGTATTTGTTTTGGATCACATTTATTTTTCGACATAATAGTATTCTAGCCATGTTATGATAATACTCGAAACTCCCAAATCCGTAAAGCTTCTTTTGGCCTGATCCTCTTTGTATCCAAGGGAAAAGGCAAAAGGGCTCCTAATTTAATTGGGAATTAGATTAATTTTGATCACTCGTTGTTCGTCTGGTATCAGAAAAGTAAAGTAAAGAAGGGTATCTAGTATACCTCAACGGCAACGATGAAGTAAATATGAAACGGCTTTAAAACTTCGATTAACTTGCTTGCTAATATGTATGATTTAAATACTCTCTTCTAATTCGGTAGTTGCATTGTTTTGAGGTTAGACAACAGAGCTACTGCCTTTTAGTTGTGCAACTCTTTTAACTACTTTCGCCCTCATAGTTTACTGAGCGATAACATACAAAGTCTGAAATCTTGTGGAATTTGAGACTTTTAACTATTCAAGTGGAGTGTTTCATCAAAAACACCCTTCATGAGAATAAGTTCAGTCTCGTTTATTTTGAGGCCGAGTAATAATTTTGTAGCCTTCCATGTATTTGTTTTGCCTTTTTAGTGCTTATAATGTCACACTTTGTAATTTTAGAATAAGAGGATTTATAGGGGTTTAAATCTATATTCTGACTGTAATTTTCGTGTAATTTTATCAGGCAGATCAGCTAGCCGAAGAAAACCTGCTCGCTGGGCGGGGAGTCAAGTTTTCTCGTATTTTAGAAGCTATGCCTTATCAGGGTAGTGGAGATAAGATCAAATTGCCGCCTTCATGTTTCACTGAGCTGTCTGACGAAGGAGCTTTTGACAAGGGACCATTGCACTTCTCTCTATCATTGATTCACCAGGAGGGGGGCCCACTTAGTGCAGAGAGTGCCGATAAAGAACGGCTCAGGACGACACATGCTGGCGTCCTGGAGTTCACAGCAGAGGAAGGTTTTGTAGCACTTCCTCTGCACTGTTGGAGTAACTTATTCCCCGCGGACGCTCCAAGTTCTGCTACGGTGGAAGTACGTTATGTTTGGCTTCCAAAGGGGACTTACGCAAAACTTCAATCAGTTGAGTATGGTTTTTCCTATATTCCAAATCACAAGGCAGTACTGGAGACAAGCCTTCGGCAGCACGCAACTCTTTCCCAAGGCGATACGCTGACAGTCAACCATGGTGCACTGACATATCATTTGCGCGTTCTTGAGTTGAAACCTTCTCCTAACATATCTGTTCTGGAAACAGATATGGAGGTGGATATTATTGGTCCAGATTCTGCAGTAACAACAAACGAGTATGTGTTGAAGCCTCTCGTATTCGGAAAACCCGAGTCTGGTACGGTTGATGAAGGACGCTACATGTACTATAAGTTCTCTTTAGATGATGATACATGGAAAAGAATCTCTTCCGAGGATGCGAAAATTGTTGTTAACTTAGATTCGCAGACGCAAGATGGAGATACTGACCTGTATGTATCGAGGCATCCACTTCTGTTCCCTACATTACACCAACACATGTGGTCTTCACACGACATGGGTTCGAAAGCATTGATTCTTGGCGCAGAGGATCAAAACTTGGGTTCGGGCACTTACACGGTTGCTGTATATGGCTTTAAAGGGACATCAAATTACACGGTATCTGTTACAGTTCAAGAAGCTCCGAAGCATAAGCCTGGCCAGAATGCTGCATCTTCATCATCGGTAGCTGAGGTGGACACTGTAGAGTGCCGAAACTGTAGACGATATGTGCCTTCAAGAACCATTGGTCTACATGAAGCTTATTGCAGTAGACACAATATCATTTGCCCGCATGCTGGTTGTGGGGTTGTTCTTAGGATCGAGGAGCGCGAAAGCCATGTCCATTGTGAAAAATGCAGTAAAGCTTTTCAACGAGCGGAGATGGAGAAGCACATGAAAGTTTTCCATGAGCCACTTCATTGCCCGTGTGGGGTTGTTCTCGAGAAGGAGGAAATGGTAAGTTTATGCATTTCTTTTCTTCACATATTACGATGCCCTTCGAATTGCAAGAAACAAATGTTTAAATTGGTCGATATTCGAATACGTGTTTTTATTTATTGTCATGGTCTTTTTCTACATTGCTAATAAATGTTTGACTTGATATTGCGATTCTTGACACAGGTGCAACACCAGTCGTCGAATTGCCCGATGAGACTAATCACATGTCGATTCTGTGGAGACATGGTTGAAGCAGGGACTAGTGCTGCAGATGCAAGAGACAGAATCAGAGGATTAACAGAACACGAGAGTCTTTGTGGTTCAAGAACTGCGCCTTGCGATTCGTGCGGGCGTTCAGTAATGTTGAAGGATATGGATATACACCAAATTGCTGTCCATCAAAAGAACTAGTTTATTTATTACATCATGATTTGAACTCATAAGTGTGATTGCATCTTCTTTACATGCTGTGATGTATGTATGTATATTCTTCTTTCAAGGTTGTGTAAAGAAGAATAAACGGAACAACGATTATATACTATTGCATAAACTAATGGTGCAATTCGGTTATTATCAATTACATCAAGATTCTTTTTTTCCTAATATTATAATAGTGCCGATTGCGCGAAAAAAAAATCGAGGTTCGCCCCGATAAGAGTATTGCAAGTACCCGAGTCAATGGTGGTTAATTTATGTGCACCAAGATTCAAGATTGATGATTGAGCATTTGTATGATTTGGGAGTATGCATTAAGAGCAGCTCTGTTTTTAGCAATAACCTTCTTGCCGCTGTACTTTGCCCTACCGACGTTATTAACGACAGCGAGTTCTTCTTGTTCTTCTTTTACTATCAGAAACTCGATCTCTCCGGTTTCTTTCCACGTGTCTCTCATTTTCAATGTCAACTTTTCCCTTTGGCAGATTTCGTACAGCAGTGTCACCGGTTGTGTCGGAAGACTTGCTGGACTGATTATTGGTTCCAACAAATTCTTCACTATCTGTCCTTGAGATTAATATTTTAATTTTATTATAAAAAGAAAATAATATTTGATTTGACGATGCGAAAATAAAATGTATATATTATTACCTTGCATGTTGTGTCCATGGAGGAATCGGAGTCGATATAAATGGCTCCAACCAATGACTCAACAATGTCGGCGAGCACCTTCGGGGCATCAATTAATCCCGATGAATGCACGGGATATTCGTTTACTGCTTTCTCAAATTCTTCAATCTGCAAGCATGCACCAACATATACACAACAAATTCTTAGTTTTGTTATAATTAGAAATCGTTCAAATAAGTTTTTCTCTTGATAAAGAAAAAGATGGAGCATATAAAAAAGAATAGTTGAGAACACTGGCGAGTCTAGGAATTTGTTAAATAGTGGATTTAACTGTTCGGAGTTCGGGGGCAGTACCCAAAAAACAAATTAGGATTGTTTTTTTCAATTTGAATTTTGGGTGGACTAGATAAAAATATATGTATAACATGTGAGAAAATTTTATAAAGGGGGCTTGAATCCACACTAGCCATATTGCTTAAAATGTATTGCTACTTACTTGTGCTGCAAGTAAAAACATATCATGGCGTAGAAGCGTGTGCAAGTGGTGCTTCAACGCCACACGTGCGAGCTTCTCAGTGTCCACATTGGCTGCCCGGAGCCTCGTCAGTTTACCCGGATCCAAATCCGGATACAATGAGTAGTGATCTGTGGCAAAAAAGAGATCCAAAACCGCATCCCCAACAAAGGCAAGGCGCTCGAAGGATGGGCAAATGCCCTCTTTGTAGGAGTGATGTGTGAATGCTTGTTGCAAGAGATTCGGGTCGTGAAATTCATACCCGGTTATCTCGTGTATTTCTTTGACCCGGCTTATTTTAGAGTTTTCTTCTTCGTGTTCATCATTCAATTCGTCCTCTTCGTTTCGAATATCTGGCGAAGAAGAGCCGTCTTCTTGATCTTGATCGTTATTTTCGTCCTCTAAACGAAGATGTTGTAATGGAAGAAACGTCTCGTTTTCCTCTTCCATAGTAATACAAAATATTTCTATAATTTGTTATGCATGTAATCCACAACTTAATGATGTTTTATAGTAGAAAGTTGTGCCTTCTTAGTTACAAGCATTGACAAAATGATATATGAATGGTTCATGTCTAGAAAATTCTAGACTCAGTATTTGAAATGATATGTTGTTTTAGATAGTGAAATAAACCATAGAGGTTTGACTTCACAAAAAGTATTTCAATTATTTATGGGTAAATTACAAACACCCCCCTGAGGTATGGTCAAATTACAAAAACACCCCTCTTGTTTGAATAATTACAACCACCCCCCTCAACTCATCAAATTTAGTGGAATCTTCGAGATTATATGGAATATTATCACTTTTGTACCCGTTTTATCCCATTCAAACTCTACATTATGAAGCAAGATGATCATAATATGTGATTTTTAGATTGTATATACCAGTTTGTGGTGCATCGGAAACTGTATTTTTTACACAAAAAGAGTACAAACTAGATCACATTTCACGGAATCTAGATGACTATGTTGAATTTGGCACCATAAAGGTGGAAGTCTAAGAAAAAATCATAGTTGAGGGGGGTAGATGTAATTATCCAAACAATAGGGGGTTTTTTGTAATTTGACCATACCCCAGGGGGGTGTTTGTAATTTACCCATTATTTATTTATACAAGGGGTGGGCAATTTTTTTCTTAGTTAATTTTTCCAAAAAAAATTAGAGTCTATACACATTTAGAATCAAAACAAATACAATCGTCGCACCATACGGGTTATATGTGACGAGGTCGACCGAATAGTTGTTTCCAATTTCAGTAGGTGGAATATTTGACTATAATTGAGATGGTTTGTGGCTTTGTATATAAGTCTTTCTTCCCAAGTTTCATTTTGCCTCTTTCGTTGATGGAAAAGTACCAAATGGGTTGACTTTGACCACTTCATTTATCCTAAAATCTAAATACTCCGTGCACGTTACACAGTTGGCTGTTGCGAAAGAGGGGATAAATTATATTTTCTGTATATATATATACTCCCTCTGTTCTACAATAAATGTCTCTTTTTAAAAATATTTTTGTTTCATATTATCTGTCACTTTAGATTTCCAACACTGCATTAAATGTATTTTTCTTGCTTTAACCTTATTAATGAAAATCTAATTATTAATTTTCTCTTATAAATCATTAAATAATAAAGGTTGTTTTAGTCATTTTTATATGATTTTTCTAAAATCAAGATATATTCATTGAGTTTCTTAATCTTTGTGAAAAGTGAAAAGAGACAGAACGGAGGGAGTAATATATATATAAGAGAGAGAGAGACATTCTTCACTATCAATCGATCCATTGACTAATTAATCAAACCAATTAAAAAAAAATAAAAAAAAAAAGAAGAAAAAAAACCCCATAAACTTCTACTATCCAACTGGTGTTGAATGGACTTATATGTTGAATGGACTTTCATGGTTTTCTTCTTTTTTTCTTTTCTTCTTTTTTTTCTGTTAAAAAAAAAAAAAAGAGCCACGAAATCAAAACTCTTTAATTGGAACTTGGAACTCGTAAAGTTACCATTTTTTTTCCCGAATTTTGTTTTCAATAAAATTGTAAACTGAGTAACTACTAGCAATATGGACGACCATGTAAAATTTATGTTTTTTTTTTTCCCTTGATTTTTCTATGATCGATAGGTCATAGGTACATGGATGGATGCTTTGCAGTGTGGCAAGAGAACGAACGCCCTCTGTTTACAGTCGTTTTCACAAAAAGAAAGAGCTTCAGTATCGAGTATTGACACTTTCATGTTGAGAAAATGCTAAAAAAAGTGTATATTGGCTCTTGAGTTAAGAATTGGGAGTGAATAACAAAAAAATAAAAACTTGGGAATGATTAATTGAAAATATGCCGTAAATAACAACAATTGTGACAAGTGAAGATATAATTAGCAACCTTGATTCAAATTTTGGACACTAATCCTTCTAAAAACTTCCTTATAAGCATCATTTGCTGCTCTGTTTAACGCGATTTCTTTCTTTTCGCGGCACATACCTTTTCCTCTAAGTTGATTGTCAACGAAAACTTTGTACGTTCCTTCTTGAGACCATTGATCCACAAGTCTAACTTTGAGCTTGTATTTTTGGCATATCTCAAATAGCTTCTTCACTGGATTCTTTTCAAGCATTTCCGGTGTAATTATCGGTTCCATCAGAAAACTAGCTACCTGCACTCAACCCGGAAGAAGAAAAAAAAAACCGTAAAGATTTTTCCATTTCGTTTTATCAAGTAAATTGATATATCTCCCGAGAAAAGAATATATATAGATATAATATTGATTAAAGGGCATGACGGAGCGACCTCCCATGTTGTATCAATAGAATAATTACTGTCGACGAAAACAGCACCAACAGTGGATTCAACTACATCTGCAAGCACCTTTGGAGCATTAATCAAACCATGTGAATGTAATGGATGTTTAGGAACGGCACTAATAAATGCCTCTATCTGCACACACACACACAAAAAAAAAAAAAATTACGTACTGAGATATAATTAAGTTGAAAATGTAGGAAAACGAATTTTGAAATAAGTAAAAGTGTATAAGGACATAAAGTAATTCTTTGTCTGCTATAGTCCCTGTTAAGTCTATCGGAGCTTTTAGCAAATTGCCCCATTTCTAAAAGACGAGAAGAACTAAGATGCAACTAAATTGTCGACATACCAATACATGCATCTGCAAATCTAAAACACGTAATTTTCCTTCAAGTGTGTACAACACTAGGAGAAACTATGCATAAACTCGCTTCTTCGTATGCAGAAACAAACCGACTAGCTAAAGTTTATATCATAAATGTATATGTCAGAAAATATCTTGCGAAGGCAATATCTGAAGATCTGAAATTTCACAACCCAAAATCGATTACTCAATAAACCATGTTTGGGAATCAGGATTAGGTTTGATAGACAATATAAAGAAAAATATCTTGAATATTCGGGAATTAGTTTTCAAGCATATGAAGGATATTTAGTCGAAATTCAAACCCCTATTATTGCATAATCTCATTTTGCTTTTTAGATGCCTTCAGTTAAATTATAATAAATAATGCTAATAAGTAGTCTAAATTTAGGGGTATTTTCGACATCCTATAAACAATCCATTATAATCCTTATTACAAACCGATAGATTACCAAACAGTGGAAAATACAAGGATAATACGAAACAATCTCATAAAATTATTTTATCATGAACAATAATATACTTGTATTGAATTTGAATATTCCGAAAATTCCGAAAACAAGGTCCAAATAGTACTTACTTGTTTCTTAAGAACGGGAGTACCGAGTCGAATATATCTGTGAAAGTTATGTTGGATAGCGACGCGCGCAAGCTTCTCCGTGTCAACGTTTGCAGCACGAAGCGGAGTCAACAACCCTGGTGGAAGATTAGGGTACTTTGAGAACTGTTCTTTTGCGATTAAAAGATTAAGTACAGAGTCGCCAATGTACTCGAGTCTTTCATACGACACACAAGTTTTACGATATGACGGATGAGTAAATGCTTCATTCAGTAAGCTACGGTTCTTGAAATTGTACCCTATCATCTTCTCAACTTCTCCTAGACTTTGCAACGACTTTGTTTCGGCTTCCATCTGCAGTACTACATCTACATTCTCATTTCCCTTAAGATAGCTACTCAATATATATCCTGCCAGAAAATCAAATATGTCATCCCGTCATTTCGGAGGATTTAATTCAACACGAACGTTGTAAAGAACTCAGATATTTCAAAGAAATGTCGTATATATCTGACAAAGCTATAATGTAAGGCCTTGTTTCGTGGTAAGATAAGTAATTAAGTAATCACGTCTTATTTAGTGAAATAACTTGTCGGGCCGGCCAAAACGTTCGGAAACGAGCTCTTATCTAGGCTTAATCTTATATTGGGAACCAAACGAGGCCTAACAAGATAAAATTAATATGGATCATCATCAACTCCCACAGCATTAGCACAATTCATACTAAACATTTACTGAGGTAAGGAAATTAAAAAAAACTGAACTTTTGGTGTAATCGTAAATAAAATGTTGAATCGAATACTCGGGTGCAAGAATAGAACTCCGCAGCGTTTTTGGTACTACTAACAGGCAAAAACAAAGTCCACAGAACAGCTAAAAGGCAAAAACTAATCTCAAGCCCTTATTTTAATTCGGTGTTAATACAAATATATTATGATTTATGCCCAATATTTTCAATTTTTGGAATGCATCTGAAAAATAAAGACCTGATATATTTTGTACAAATTGATTGTGAACAGTAAGTATTACACTCTCGAAAAAATTCAATAAATTATCAAACAAGAATCAGCAAAAGAGAATTTCCAGAATATATGTTTTCAGATTAGGAGAGAGCCGAGAAACATTTTATAAACACACACAACGTACCGTATCGACGGAGGCGGCGTCGATAAGTATTCGCCGGAGAGAAGAAAGATCCCCACCACGAACCCATTTTCAATCAAATTGAATGAGAGTAATCACTGTTCAAATGCCCATGGATTCGAAGAATCACAGTATCAATTAAATCACAGCTTCAATTGATTACAAGCAGCAACCAGCGTGAACTATTTGTCGGACATAGCTACTTAGTTTCAAAGAGGGAAATCAAAGTTTTAATGGGCAAAAAAGGGCAGAGAGTTTTTGAAATCTTACATATAAAAATAATAAATAATAAGTAATAAATAATAAAAAATAAAAAATAACTACTCGGCCCAAAGAACTACCAAAACCGAAACCAAAACCGAACCGAAGACCTGAGTTTCATGAAAGATTTAACCATGTTGCTAAAAAATTACTTGTAGCCTAGGGAGTAGGGAGTGTACTTTTTATTACTAGGTACGTATTAATCCTACCTGATACAAAGGTCCGGGTACCGGTGAGACTTGAGAGTGCATAAAATTGAGACTTTCTTATCACAAACTATTTCCGTAGCCCAAGTATTTAAAACACGGCGAAACTAAATGGTCCGGAAAAAGAAAAAAAAAAAGAGCAAAAAAGAAGTTAGGTTCAACACCTAATTTTTAAGGGATTGTAGTCCAATTAGTCATAGAACACCCGCCCTATCAAGCCCCAAGTTTCGGGCGAGTACAAGGACTCGAAAACCTTCCAAATGAACTTTATAAAGTATATATTTAATTGAAACTGTTTTAGAGGTGATAAATGAGTTGGATGGAAGTAAATACTAAAATTGAAAAAATGTCCGACGTTTACTAAAACTTGTGTTTATCATTTTAGTTTCCATTTATCGTGATAAATCTCAATTATCGTCATTCCCCGAGTTCGATTCTCCCTACCAAAGACCTTCTTGGTCAAGCTCTTCGGACATGTCTTGGTGTCCACTTGTAAGAGCTAGCTACACTGAAACAACAACATTTGTAATAATACATGACTAGCATTTTCTGCTGTTTTCTTACCCTACAACTCTTTTATTTTTCAACAAATAAATAACCTGTTCGATACAAATTTTCATTCTACCAATATGCACAGTTACAATGAGGTAAAACTCTTTACATCAGGAAAACATAAGAAAAAAAGAGAGGAAAAAGCACAGTAAATATACATAATATACATGGACTACCTCCCAGACATAAGATTTAAAAGTCCAGGATGATTTGCATAGAAAGAGCCGACATCCCAATCCTCCGTTGTAGACGATAGTGTCATCAAAGCAACCACGATCGATCTCATGCTCGGCCGCAGTTGAGGATTCTCGTGAGTACAAGCTCTTGCCAGCTGTGCCAACTGTAACTAACCACAAAATAGAATTCATTTAGTTATTTATTTTTCTCTTTTTTTGTGATTAAAAAAACGAAGACTCGAAAAAAAGAATATAGGGAAGCCATGAACGGGAATCTCCAGAATTAGTCAAACCTTTTGGACCGAGTCGAGAGGGTAATCATCACCAAGTCTAGAGTCAATTAAACTCGTGAGGTCTTCTGTTTGGCCAGGTTTGCTAAGAACCTCTTCAAACTGCAAAATAATCAGCAATAAAAGCAGGTAAAAGGAAAAAGTTATTATAGAGTTGTATGTAAGAATAGCTAAATATAATCAAATTAATAAGCAAGAGAAATGAAACGAGAGAAGAAGTATACCAAAGAAACAAGGCCCTTTGAGTCTGCAGAAGAACCATTTGTCTTAACTATGGCTTCCTTGGCTGAAATCAATTCATACAGAACAACACCAAAAGCATACACATCTATTTTTGGAGACACATCACCATATTGTGCATACCTGCAACCCAAATTTATGCGTCAATTTTTTTTTTTCAGTGCATTGCCCAATCAAGCAGAATGATATATATATATATATATCAATTTCCATATAGAACTTTTACGGGCTGTTAAGTGATTTCTTTGGAGGTAAATTGATGAATATTGGATACATAAAGAGTCATTGCTTTCTAACTAGATTACAGATAATTATTGGAGGGGTAAAATTGGAATGTTTGGACAAATATTCTTGGAATCTCAACAATTCGGTCATTGTTCACATTACGGGTAAAATGCTAGACGGTGATACCGAGGGGGTAAATTGAGGGTTTTTTTTCTTCGTAATTTAGCCTTATTTAGGGCGGTGTCTGTAATTTAACCTTATTTCTATTTTGTAAATCACACCAATTGAAGGAGTATTTCTAAAGTAAAAATGAACCTGGATAAGGCGTTTGTAATAATGAAAGTTACAACACCGATAAAATTGTCCAAATTCATTTCTAATTGCGAAAAAAAGATGATGTCATCCACTAAACATGAAGATGCATAAGAGAGGACTTACTCGGGAGGCATATAACCGAATGTACCCACGAGTTTGCCCGTTGGCAGCGAACTACTTCCAACTTCTGTCAGCTTCGTCAACCCAAAATCTGCAACCTGCAGCAAAATAACACTCATTAGGCCTCATCCCCTTACTTCCCCATTTGTAATAGGATTTGTGGTTTTTTTTTTTAATTATAAAAGAACTAAAAAAATAAGTACAAGATCTAGGCTGTGGTACAACCTTCGCATGGAAATTCTTGTCTATCAAAATATTTGCAGGTTTGATATCACGATGGATGTACACAGGAACGGTGTGTTCATGGATATATTCAAGACCTCTAGCTGAATCGAGAGCAATTTGCACCCTGGTTGCCCACTGAAGTGGTTCCCTGCCTGGAAAAGTGCATTAGATAACAAGCAATTTCTTTTTGCATAACATCTATATGCATACGAAATCAACACACTTGTACCTCGGAGATGTTGACTTAAGTTTCCATTCTCAATGTATTCATATACGAGGAAAAGTGAGCCCTCGACACAATACCCTATCAACCGCACCTGTAACCAAAGACACTAAGAAATTACCAGCCATTACCAGTACTAAGAAATACGTACAAGTAAAATAACTACTGTCTAGTAAATCATAATTATGATTCTCTACAGGATCAGATGTAAGAAAACTTGACCAGTACATAAGGAGGGGCATTGGTGAACGAGCAGTACAGTTAAGACTTTTTGCGCACAGAAAGAAATGTTAAATATTTATTGCAACTTATTTACCAGATCTTTTAAACACATTCTTACTTCTCAGCAAAACTTATCATTCCCAACTTACTTCTCAACCACTCACTTTTTTCGAAAAGTTAGTATTTTTTGAAACACACATCTTTTGTAAACACTCATCCTATATTAAGGCTCAAATACCGAGTGCTCAGAACTTCACCAGCTTATTGAAATCTGTTTCCATATTTTAAGGGCTTCCACCATAGCCAGTTCATTACCCAATGCGAATCTCTTTTTATGACAGTGATAGTCAGTCACTTCACTTAAAAGGAAAAAAAAACTGATAGCAGAGGACGAGAATAAAGCAATACCAGATTGAGGTGATGAACATGTGTCAAAACCTTCAGTTCAGCAAGAAATTCTTTACTAGCTTGCATATCCATTTTCTTAATTGCTGCTTTCTGCAACAAAAATCATAAGACAAAATGAAATATCATAAAGGTAAATATTAAGAAACAAAAACGTTCGCACTTGCTGCAGAATAACTGAGTGTGCGAGTTTCAAACCTAAGCCTGAAATCGTACTTTTTTCTAATGTGAAAATGAACGGAATTTGAGTAATTACTTACCTCACCTCGGAGCTCGGCATAGTAGACAGCACCAAATCCACCTTGACCAATCTTATTTGCAATACTGAAGTCATCAGTCGCAGTTGCAAGTTCTTCATATGAGAACTCAACAGATTTGTCAACAGTAATGCCTGTAAAACCTGTAGACGCCCCATCACGAGTGCTAGTGGAATCTGCTGCTTTTACCGAAGTGCCTAATCAGTACAAGACAGAAAATTAACCAACTTGCATGTATACACCCAAATTAGACATATTCATTAACAAATCTCAACAATATATATATATATATATATATATATATATATATATATATATATATATATATATATATATATGTGTGTGTGTGTGTGGGTGGGTGTTTATTGTGTTACAATGAATAAGAATAATGGGCAAGTATGATTTGTCATTTTACTTGTTCCAGCTTTATCGCATCTAGTTATAGAAAATCAATCATTAAAGCCTATAAAGGAGCCACTGATATGCTAGTTGGCAATAATAATAATAATGCAATTACTTAACATCATCTTAGTTAGAAATGCTTAGTTAATTCCCTACCTCAATGGATTTAATAGGGGTTTCCCCATCATTTAATTTAGTGAAGAGAATCAGATATATCGATCCATTAGAAATAGAATTCCTCAACCTAAGACGTTCATCTGAAATATAAGGTTGTTGTAGCAGGAAATCAACAAAGACATCAAGCAAATCAAGGCAAATTCATTATCTAAGGCCCAGTAGCACCCTATCCGATGACGTCTAGATGGCTGTGTAATGCATGTTTTGGACAGAACTGTAATAACAGAAAACTGGGTAAAGGACCAAAGAAAAAATCAATACTGTTTGTGGTTCCAAAAAGCATATCTCTTGTTAGCTGAAAGTAACATTACCAAATTTTTGGAGAATGTTTTTTTTTGATATCTTCTCATCTTGAGTGATCCCTCAAATTGAAAACTCTTATTACTTAATATGTTACCCAAACTCCAAGCATCAAAAGCTCAAAAATATAGTGTTAAACTGTTAATAAACATATCATTGTGAAGGCCTTTTGCTCTACCCTCGAAATTCTGACCTGTAACCATCTAGTAAAGCACCTCTGAATTCAGTCAACCAAGGGAAACACAAATTCAGAGACTGCCACTAAACATTAAAATGTCCATTTATCTATTTTTCATATATCACTTCTACTGGAAGAATTAAACTTATTGGCTATGCAGAAGACACTTAACTAAAGTCGAGGGTTGTAAGGAAGGCATTTTTGGCCCTCAACTACAAATTGAAGAACTATTCATCAGTCGACTAATACTTAGCGAACCTACATTTGCAAAATGCAACTTATGGAAGCAACAACCAGAAAGCAGCCAAAAAATGAAACCCTCGTGAAAAACTGTGGCAGGCCCATAAATGAGCATATTCCATGGTGCTTAACTAAAAATTGCATTAATCTCTAGTTTTCTGTTAAACTATTCTCAACTTAAAGTAGAATGTAAAACTTTCCGAGTAAACATGAAAAGCAAAAAAAATCAAGGAATAATTGAAAAAAAGGGTACCATCTTCATGCACTGTTGCAAGCAATCGAGTCTTCTCGGCATTCTTCTTTCTTCGCAATCCTACATATAAACAACCTAAACATAACAATACACCAGCTATTCCCGCAACCGAAATCCCAGCTATAGCTCCACTGGATAATCCTGAATCTATATATACACAGATATATAAGCAGACAATTATATTCAGTTAATAACCATAAGTAGAAAATTATAAAACAAGAAAGATACACTAGAACTCATATAAGGAGAACGCCACACCACCTTTGCTGCAAATTGACAAAAACAAGAATTTGATATGAGTAAAAGTGCAAAAATCAAAAAGGGGATATGCAGATTCCTTATGAAGTCAAAGATGTATAATATATCCTACCTGATATTCAGAGAAGGGAAAATCCCATTCCGATCTGCAAAATAAATCAAAGTGTTTTGATTACAGCAACATGTAAGTAGAGAGCAATAATTATTTAATTACCATAAAAAATTAAGATAAAAGGAACAAATGCTTACCTTTGCCCGGAATATACAGCAAACCACTTCCTGAACTGAAATTCGCCGTCGGATTATACATCCTCAACAAATCCGCACTCAAATTACTCGCCGCCGCCACCGTATCGAAGCTCTCCCCTGCTCTGAAAGGATACGTGACGAACAGTCCGTAATCCATGGAGATATCCTTATCCCCACAGCTGCAATTAACAGTGACGTTCAATACGACACCGGTATCGGGAATATTCCAGGCAGGATATGTATTAAACTTCTGCAACCAATCAACGGTGGTGAGATTGGAGTAGTAAGTGGCGGCAATTGTGTCGTAGGTGTTGCCGGGGGAAGTGGTGTAGCTGAAAACGTGGCCGAGGAACTCGCCGCCTTCGAGGCAGTCGCAGGCGAAGGGGACGTTGACTCGGCCGCCGGCTTGCACGCTGTCCTGATTAGGGATTTGAGGGTTGTAGCTGAGTATTGTTGGGATTGGGATCTGTGTCACAGTGGAGATGAAAGTCAGGTTCGATCCTTGCCATACGTAGTACGAGGCTAGAGCTAGGTCGCAGCCGCGGCTGCAGCGGCCGTCGGCGGCGGAGGAGAATATTCCGATCAGGAGAATTCCGATCAACAGCAACTTCATCGGAATAATGATGTTATGGTATTGAGGAAAAATCAAAATTGGTATTTGATGTGTGTGTAACTAACTGTGTATGGGGAGAACATTTAGTCGTACGTTGACTGAAGACTTTCTGTTGCAATTTGCAAAGACTTCCTTCTCTTCTTCTTTGCTTTACTTTTTTTATTTTTATTAAAATAAAAATAAAAATTAGAACTTCATTTTTAATTTGACTAAACCTTTATAAACCTTGAATGGGAATAATGAGCACTTACCCACAATTATAACTTGGAATACTGTGGTTCAAACTTCAAATTCAACAACTCGCAGTCTTGAAAAACAAAATTATCCTGAATTATTTTATTTATCCTGTAACAAACAATTGAAAATTATTATTAAAATAATAGTAATAATAATGTTGTCAAACTTTTACTTAAAAAAAGAAATGCAGGGATCTTAAATATATCCAATAATAAAGAATAATGTTAGTTGGAATTGATCATCTGTGATGCAATGGAATCTAATAGATGCTGTTAAGTGTATATTTATACACTTAATTGTACCTTTTAATTGGAGCTTTTGATGTGTTTTTACGATAATTGGTGCTTAATATGGTTATTATTGGTATTTTAGGTGCAAATTGAAGAATTGGCAACTTTTGGGGTGAAAACTGAAAATTCAGAGAAAAAGTGGGCCAAAAGTGAAAACATCGAAAATCTGAAGAATTAAATACCGGACGGCCGTCCGGATTTTATAGCCTATTCTCGCACGGCCGTCCGGATGGACGTAGGGGCGCAGTGAAGGAAGTTTAATTACACAAGGAAACCCGCCCTATTATATTTTTGCACCCTATTTAAAGGCCACAAGCATACAATTAGGATTATCTTTGATCTTTTATCTTTCATCTTTAGTTTTTATCTTTCATCTTTTCTACACGCAATCGAGGAGCAAGAGAACGAAGACTTGACGAATCTCCATCCTAGTTTTCCTTTTTCCTTTTCTTTTCTGATTTTATGAATTTTCGTATTTTTATTATGCTTTTCGTTACGAACATGAGTAGCTAAGTTTTTATTCTAGGATTTTATTGGAACCCTATGTGGTGATTCAAACCTATTTTTCTACTTTTATGCAAGTTTAATTCTTCGATTATTTCTTCTATCTTGGTCTTATTTAGCGCATGAACGTAGCTAATTTATGTTGCTATGTGTTATTGTTAGAATTGATTGACAGATCGTTTTAATAATTAGAACAGGGATAGAAGAGCCTTCGAGTAGTTTTTCACCGAATGCGTGTGTTGATTGCATGTATTATCGTAGACATACAGATAATACCTTAGGTAGCCGTTTACGAGACTTGTTATTTAATGCTTTATTTGTACTAGGTTTGCATAGACATATAGTGAATCTTTTATAAATAATAGGCTTATAACGCAGCGACAGCTGGTTATGAGTAATTTCGTGTCTTGGGTTAATAATCGGGAATCGTAACTTGCATGATAGGAGATTAATTGGGTGAAGAATTATCGCATAGGGGGAGATAAAATCCTAGATCCGTTTTATATTGATATTTTCTCGTGTTTAATTGCTTTCTTAATTAGTTTAATTTATTTAGTTAATTAATTTGACAACCTTGCGTAGGCTGAATAAAAATCATAATTGTTAGGATTTGGTACTTAGGATTAAATAATTTGCGTATTCCCTGTGGGATCGACATCCGACTCTCACGAGTCTACTTTACTACTTGTTTGCGATACGTACACTTGCGTGTTGGTATTTAGCACCCAACAGATGCCAACCGGATAATTAATTGGTAGAGCATTGGATGATTGATCAAATGAGAATAACATTCTAACTGCCTTGAGCTCCTGGATTGGCCGAGGAAGATTAAGGCACGTAAACAGTTCGGAAATGTTAAAAGTTAAGAGAGAGAAACACATTGTAATCAATGTTAAGAGAGAGAAGAGGAATCAAGAGAGAGAGAGAGAGAACGTCAAGATTTGAATCAGAATTGTTTTGATCTTATTGTGATGCTTGTATTTCAGTAAACCTCTTGTTCTTATTGAATGAATGAAGATTTCTTTTATCTTCCATTGATTATAGCTTCGTGTCATTAATTTACGTAATTCAATTGTGAATTTGTTAGGCCTCGTTTGGTCGGGGAGATAAACCATAATTATCTAAATAGTTAAACTTTGTTTAATGTTTGATATCCAAATAACTTACCGGTCAACCCGTAAATAATATATTATCATGACTTATCTTGCCTTTTAAGCATGTTTTTTATTAGACCGTCCAAGGTTCAATAAAACAATTAGGTTTTCTTAGATTATTTAATCTTATCTTGGCAACCAAATGACAAATTAAAGGCAAATAAAAGAGCCTCCCACAAAACAAACACCAAATATGAATGTATCAGCTTTCAAACATGCAATTTATTCAAGAATAACTCACTGTCTCATGCTCTTTATATTTTATATACAACATACAGTACTTACAAATTTATCTAAACACAAATAAACAAACAAACAAACAAACTATATATTACAACTTGAAGATGATCTTGTTCAAGTTGAAGTCTTGGCACCCATTCTTCTAGACAGCTCCTTTATCAGAGAATTGTCTTTCACAGATTCTTCCCTTTCAAAATGCCACTTCTTCGATAAATCTTCCGCCTAAACTCAACCACCCCATAAACGGAAAATATATACGAATATTAGCAGACCATGAATTTATAGACATTAATATATCTTGCTTCGTATAGTGATGCTACTTACCCAAGTTCTTAAAGGAGTTAATTGCTCTTTGAAAATTTCCAACTTTGGTTGAACCAAATCCTTTCCCTTATTTCGAATATCATCACCCTGTCAAGACGAAAAAGGAAAATTTAAGCTGACGTTTTTCATTAATGAAACAGTAAAACGAAACCAAGAAAATAATAAATATTATCCACGTAAGAATTATAAGGAACAATATTTCTTGTGTTAAATAGGCTCTACTAAATGAATCCTCGTTTCTTCTATTCTACTAAGAAGCGATTTTGACATTTTAAAAAAAAACCATTAAACCCTTATTCGGCACTCTGAGGTGGAAGGTGTCACTACGTTAATATCTCGTTCTCGTGAAGCAAAATAAGTTCGAACCTTTAACCAAAATAAAATAAAATAATAAATGAATGAATTAATAAACGCTATGTTGGAACCAATCTTATAATTTTTTTTATTTTGTCAAATTTGCTTGTGTTAAGTCCTATCTAGTGCTCATCTATTAGGTAAGCTTGATTTATTTCTACGAGTGTTTAGCTGCTCGGAGAATTCATTTATGCATGGTGAATTTGAAATTTAATTGAGAATGAGGTGATGTAGCAGGTCCCTATGTCATGATTATGTAGGAAAATTTAATTGAATTAAGAAAAAAGAAAAAAAAACATATTTATTATTGAGTTGAACGAAAATGGAATAGAAAGTAATGCATGTCAAAATCTGCAGATTTAATATGGTAGGTAAAAACATGATGGGAGATATATACGTACATTGTGCATCTCGAGTTTAGATGCTGTGAGACCAAAGATTAAGGCCGTACCACCAAAAACAATAGCAGTAGCAACAGCAAACGCTGAACCAACTGCCAACAAATAGAATTTAATTAAAAAATAATAATAAGCATGCTCCATAGAAGAAGCAAAACGAGAAAAAGGGAATGTGTAATTCACAATAAAAAAAGACTTTACTTTGAGATAGGCCTGCTACAGCAGCCTTCAACTTGTCGGAGCTGATTGTGCTGTATTTGTCGTTCCGCAAATCATTTGCAGTTGACGCTACAACCGAGTTTTCCGAATTCGGAATCTGCCATCTGATTGTAACAAACAAATAAACAAACAAACAAACAAACAAAGATTTCTCAATTCTCACTAATATTCAGTGTACGTTATAGTGCCACAAACAACTGTAAAGAAATCGTAATTTGTATTAGCCTAAGTTAAGGAAGTAACATAAAACATTTGAGAAACATCATCCAAATGCAATGAATCAGAAATATATCGGGGAACATCAAAGCATAAACAACTGCCCGGCGGTGAGCCAACCAACCCAAATCAAATATGTCATCACATACGCATATATACCTAAATAAATAAAAAGAATACGATATAATTCCATTAACGCAAACAAAATCAAAACCATACCCGTGTCAGGGTGGTAAACGAGCTAAGCCGGCTCGTGACCTCGATGAGTTGGCTCGACAAAAGCTCGAACTCGTGCTCGGGTTTTTCAAGCCCGAGCTTCGGACGAACTCGAGTTCGAGCCCAATTATAGTTGTTCGACAGCTCGCGAGCTACTTATTTAATTTTTTTATTTTTATTTTTTTTTATATATTTCACAATAAACTTATTATTATTTTTATTATTTAAAGCTCGAGTCGACTCGAGCTCGATCTCACCGAAACTCATGCAAGCTCGAACTCGAGTACAAATAGTCGAGCTCTAGCCAACCAAAATAGGCGAACTCGGCTCGTTCACACTTCACACCCCTAACCGTGTGTATTCTAAAAAGCAAAATATAAATTCCATTGAAGTAGCAAAATCAAAACCTAAAAATAATACCCATTCGTCTTCCTCTAACACTAATAAGATGTAAGATCACAACAAATTGCATAAACCAAGCACCTGAAACAGCTAATAATTAAATACAGAAATAAAATGCAAAAAAAAGAAAAGAAAAGAAGAAACCTTTTGGGTCCAAAAGTGACCTGGGGAAGAGAAACATAAGCCCTAAGGGGATTGAGAGCATCGGGCGACACACCCGAATTCACTCCCACTTTCGGGTCGGGTTTCAAAACCCATTTAGAAGTATCGGAAAAAGAAGAAGAGCTCGAATTCTGCAGTGGGGAATAAAAAAATTTGGAAGGCAAAGAGTGCCTCAAAACCTCGGGAAGAACATCTGCAGCAGAAGAAGAAGAAGAAGATGGTAATAATTCATTATTTTCTTCTGGAATTGGATTTAGTAATTTAGTATTATTATTCTTTTTTTGGGTTTGGAGGATTCGGGCAACGGCTTGTTTGGATTCTTGTAAGAAATATGCCCCCTCTGCCCCAGCTACCCTTCCTGCTAGGAAACTCATCGAACACCAAATTTGTTTCAGGTACTGGAAATAATTTCGATATATGGCGCAACTGTGTATATATACAAAAAAAAAATTCTCGAGTCGGTGCACTTATTCCTTATACAAATTTTCTTACACTTTTTACATAATAACTGTCATTTTAAATAAAAATATATATTTTTTTTTTTATATTTTATTATTAATTCAATTTATTTAAGTACTATTTGTTTTGTTAATTTTTTATTCTCGTTTCTTTAACTTTACACAAAGACTAAGGCCTTGTTTGATTGCTTTGAATGAGCTCTTAATGGACCTAAATTTGATTGCTTTAAATGAGCTCTTAATGGACCTAAATCTCTTATTCGGTCGAGTAATTTATAATTCAGCATGTTTGATTCAACCATCTGAATGGAGCCAACTTGTGCTGACCGATTCATGTTAATTTTTAGAGCTTATTCATTCAGTGACAAATCTGAATAGATTTGACAAAACTATTTTCACAAATGCCCCTCTTTCCAACAACCTAGATAAGTGTTTGATGAAAAAGACAAAAAAAATAATGGAGTGTTTTTGATAGCTTGTGGCAGAAAAATTACAGGGAGTTCCCATATTTTTATAAGTTTTGATTTGGATTAAATTATTTACATTAATGAGAAAAAATATAATATCCCTCAAATTTATCATTTCATTAAGAATTCATTTTTTTCTTCTTCTCAGTTTTAATGTCATATATTTTTAATGTTGGAGTAGAATCAAGTTCAATAATTTTACTTTTATATATGTTTTAAGAATTAGAATTGATTTACCTCAAGCCATTTATTTTATCAAAGTAAATTGATGACATGTCATAATTTATTTTTACTTAGATAGTTTTTAGAATTAAATTAGTAGATAAACTAATATATTAAAAAAATTTGAGGGCTATAGAATGAAAATATACGAGTTCACACATATTTCTCCTTCCACTTTGGTATTATGGAATTTAATTTCTCACCATTTTTTTTCTTTTATCTCTAGGTATTTTAGTGAAATAGCAACCAAAATTTTACTTATATATTTTTCAGAAATATGTAGTTTATATTTACACATTTATTTTTGTTGAAAGAAATATAATAATATAACAATTACAAGAGCCATAGTTATATTTTTTTATTTAGATACTATCAATAATTTTGTTGGTAAATAAAATTGTGTTCTATAATTATGAAGGCTAATATAGTAAAACAATATTATTCAGATACAATATATTTTTAATTATCAAACAAACTTAAACATTCAGCATTCAACATTCAGACACTGGTCTTAACCGTCTAGCCATATGTTCAGCATTCAGTGTTCAGTGCTTAATTTTGTCAAACATAGCCTAAGATTTGATTTTAATAAAATGTGTATTTTTTAGACTAAAATGTTACTGCCACTAGTTAATATGAGAGTGTGTTGGAGAGAGGTAATAAGGGAAAATTGATAATTAAGTAACAAATAATAAGGAATAAAAGATTTGTTAAAAGCAATATATATTTTGGAGTATATGGAGTATTAACATTATTAAATGATAAAAAAAAAAAAAAATTACTATGTACTGTGTATTTTTTTCTACAGTCAAACCACATTTAAATTTTTTTTTTATACTTGTTCAAAGGTGAAAACACATTTGTTAAGAAATTGAGAGAGTAATATAATAGTGTTATTCAATGTTCCAATTTACATAAGTAATAAAAGTCATATGTAAAGGGTTTATTTTATACTAAATCTCATGAAATTTATGGAATTCTATATACTAAATCATATGGCTAGGATTTAACATACACCTAGTTTATAAAATAAATACATAATTAAATTAGCTTTAGTAATTCTAAACTCAATAAATACAAAATTAAATTAGCTTTAGTAATTCTAAACTCGTATGCACTTGAGTAAGTCGCTAATTTGCTCGGTTTAGTAGCTCAAATTCGAGATTGATTTTGATTGTCCTCACCGGGTCATTATTATCGAGTGATTGTTAATCATATATCTACACATAATCACATACACACTCATGTGTATGTATACTTAGTGGGTGGTTATTTAACATTATAGACAGCTAACAAATATCCAGTGTAAATAACTTGGTATAGCATATAACTTCCCGTAAATATATAGTTTAATAAAGACAACAATCTTTCTTGGAGAGGAATAAAGATAAAGATCAAAAGTCTTAGCTTGGTTATCAAGAATTCTCTTAAGAAAGATGTATAGTGTGTGCCTCAGGGCATCTTCCACCCATCACTATATCCTATATTTTTCATCTAATTCAGGTGTTTTTAACCTCCCAACTTAAATCACTAAATCAGCATTACACCTAAAATTATGGTGATATAGTTTTAGTCTCCCATTGTGGTCAAACCACATATCACCATATTACCAAATCCTATATTTTCACTAAATTTTTTAGTGAAGAAATTTGCAACTCCCACCCTACCACCATTTTACCATTATTTTCACCAAATCCTATTTTTTCTATCAAATATAGAAATTAAAATAGGATTTGGTGTAATTAACACCATTTTATAATTAGCATTTAAAATTATTATATTAACTAATTTCATGTAATTACCAATTTATAAACATATTTATAGAAAATATATTAGTATTAATTAATGAATTATTGTTCAAAAGATAAATACATTATTTATTATTATTATTATTATTATTATTATTATTATTATTATTATTATTATTATTATTATTATTATTATTATTATTATTATTATTATTAAATAAATATAAATATGTTTGGCTCTAATAAGGGGTACTCTTTCCTTGTTAGGCCAAACAAAGTTTTGATGAGGCCCCTTTGACCTTCAAAATTATCAATCCAATAATTTGTTTTGGCCAAAACAATGTTGTAATGTTTTTTTTTTTTAAATGGTGTTGTAATATTTTTATGCATTTAGTTATGAAATTATTGTTTGTGTGGTTTTATCATATGTATAATAATTTACGTCGATTTTCATTCATGTTTCAATAGTTTTTTAAAATTTAATATAATTCTAAGATTATATAATCAATAAAATTATTACTTATAATCGGATCTATAATCAATATTTTTAAAATTAAAATAGACTAAAATTATGATTAACATTAAATTTATAATTTTGTGATATATTTTATGAAATACCATGGGAGACCAAACCAAATGCTATTCTCTATAAATAGGAAAATGGTGAAATATTATTATTTTATTGTTTAGTATAAAATTTTATGGAATTGGTGGGAGACCAAATACACTATTTCTTCACCAAAAATAGTGAAATTATAGAATGGTGTGCTAAGGGTGGGAGATAAACCCATTTTTTCACCACCTAAAATAGGATTTGGTGAAAAAATGGTGAGTAGGGTGGAAGATGCTCTCAATCCGTCAAACTATTGTTTGTTCTCCAAGTACTCCACAAGTCATATTTTAAAGGAAGACTTTAAAGCGAGTTGTATTTTAAAATATATGAGAAAACTTAAATTATCATCACCTAACTGCAGCGCCCGCCTCTGCAAGATCCCTGTAGCCGACTTCAAAATTTCCTACGACCTTGAAACTCAAGGAAAACAAGAAAATTATTTCGTCTTCGAGCGACTATTCCTAATTACTCCCAGCCAGACCCACGGGCCCGTGGCTCAACCTGGGAGTGGGGGGCTTAATGATGTGCCTAATTGGGCATTAACCCAAAAAGCCCATGAGGCTCATTCAAAGGAAAAGTCCAACACAAAGGCACTTAATTAAGAACCTCATAAGAAGCTATGGGAAGAAATCTAATTTTTTGTCCCACATTGGTTTTCTACAAGAAAACCATACCAAACTCCACCTATAAATATGTGTTATCAATCACATAACAAGGTAAGCACTATTTAGGCAATTAATTAATATTATTTGCTTATATTGTGATAGTTTTCTGACTTGAGCGTCGGAGGACAATCGCCGGGTCACCCCCGGCGTGTCACCTAGTGTTTTCAACTGTTTTGTAGGTTAACGAGTGGAGCGATCCCTTCGACTACCTCGGACGCGTGGCAAGGACTTTCGGCATTCCCGATATTGGGCTTGAAGATTCCCGGACTTAGAAGACCTGTGGGCTTCAAGACCATTGGGCTGACCCATCATTTTTGGAGCAGCATCAATTATATATGTCATTGACTGCACCACCTATTGATGTATATCATTGATGACTTGGCTAAAATATTGGTTAACTTTAAAGAATAAAGATAATTAGTTGATCTACTTGAAAAAAATAGTTGATTTATCATAACAAAAGAAGGTAAATAAGTCGATCTATTCAGTTGACCTTTAATAGTGTTAAAAGAAAAAAAGAATTTCAATTTTTTTCCCCTCAAATTCAAAATTTATATTTTAGTGTAGTTCTAATTTAATTGGCAATTTTTTGATTAAATTGATTTAAGTGGTAAAACCAACAATATAGAGAAGTTCTCCCGCATGAGAGGGAGAACTTCATATACACACAAACACACAAACACACACACACACACCCACATTGGTGTGTGTAGATCAACGGTAAAAAACCACCCGGTGTAACCTTCACCGGGTGTAGGATAGATAAAACCCATGAGAGGAGGTTTCTCTCTCTTGGGGAGAGTGGTTATGTGCTTTTCTTCGTTTTGAATCTTTTTTCATGTTTGCATTTCGTGATCTTTCTGCCGGTGGGATCGTTTACTTGCTATTTACGTCTTCTTTTCTCGGGTTTGTATTAATGTTTTGATTTTAATTTGTGGCGGTTTGGTCTTTTGAGTTTCAAGAATTGCAAATGTCCCAATAAAACTGCATTTACAAGTGTGGTAATACAAATATATAATATTTATTTTCCAGGTTATAAATAATATCTGCATCCATTACAACCAAAGAATTAGACAAGTAATAATTCCAACACTTTAGATTAATGAAATAATGAAATACACCAAAAATCATGCAAAGCTATATCATTCTTTAGAAGAAGAATGGGTCAATTTATAGTCAAGACCAGCTCCATACTTCCATGCCTCAAGCTTTTGCTTCCATTCGTATCTCATCTTGTCCGGAAATTTGTTCATAAACGACCTGTCAATTACTACCACCGATAAATCAAACTGAGACGTACGGTCTGTTATTTAAATGATAAACAGCATTACCTAATGAGAGGGTCGATGTACGATGAAAGAAATGTATAGTATCCTAACATCACAAAATGTCCCGACCAGTCGACAAGCACCGATACACCAACCTAAAGAATCACAACACATCTACTCGATCTTTAACATAATATAATAAATAAAAAAATATATAAACACACACACACACACACTAGCCTGCTTAAATATTGATGGTATTAATAGAGGTTGATTGAGCATGACGAGGCCTAATGTCTTCACCAGTGGACCAAACTGTATCACATCCTGAAGAAACGGTCTCAGCACTGGATCCCCTAGTTTCTGCTCAACACATGCAAATACGAAAAATCGAGAATGTAATAATCGAATGACACGAATTAAAAACTCGTTTTACAAAGAAAAATAGAATTTACCTGCATGCTCTGAAAATTGGCATATAAAAGCTCGTTTATGAAATTGGGTGAAACATCGGACTGCATTTTAGCCGACATTGCTCTTTGAAACAACCACGATGCACTTAAATTAGGCTGCATCATAAGAAATATAATCAACACGAGAATTATAAAGTAAATTTAGACGACAATTCTAGAATGGCCCAAAATCTTATTAACTAACATTTCACCCGTGCGATGCAAATTAATAATTGAACAATATTTTTCAATAGTTGATATATAATACGATATAAACCAAAATAATACAAGATTACCATATACGGGTTTAACAGCGATAAGCTCCGGGCGTCCAGATAATTACTGTTGACTGCTTCATATATGCCTTCAAACCTCATAAAGAAAGATCAAAATATATTTCAATAATCTCGACATTCTTGCAACATGCGATTATTATATCAATATTAATTTTGATTTTGGACATTTGATTTTCGGAATATTCTTGCAAGAATATTTAGATGCAATATATTTGGTCATACCGACAGATAATCTTCCAAGATGCCTAGTCAAGCTCCCAAAACCACCAAACGAAACTGGTGACTGTATTCCACTAGCATCCCCAAACTGTAGAGCTCATACAAATATTCAATTAATAAGTACCATAATATATATACACACACACACACACACATTGAGGTTTTCGAAACATGTCAGAGTACGTAAAACACCTGTAAAACACGATCAAAAGCCGCTGGCAACGGACTGTGTGGGGCCCACCAGAAGGGATTTACGCAACAAAGAGCAAATAATAAATACTTAAAAGGCATGTTTTGAACCATAATAAAATATCAAACAAAGTCGTAGTCTTTTTTTATTTTTATTTTTTACCTGTCACGATATGTAGGAAAAATGCCGTATATAACTCTCAAAACCTCGAGATCATCGAGAGAGACGCCCTGCAAAAGTTAGAACAAGTGAGATAAATATTAAATACTATACGTACGAAACCGCAAAAAATATTATATATTATTACTTGATACTTTGGCATTAAATCCCAATAATCTTCGAGCAACTCTTCCAATAAGGGACACCCGGGTTCTGGGTTAAGGTAAGTGAACATATACGTAGTTCGCTCAAGGGGACCCGAGCCAGCAGGGAATGCCTGAAAATATACTTTATTAATTTAAAACAAATAAAAATGAAATATGTCGAATAAACAAGAAACATAGGAAACTATTTATTACACCTCCCAGAAATATTGTGCGACTGACTTTCCGACACTCTTCACTGAAGCACTACTAAATATGACATCGCTTGTAATATTGTCTTTGAAACCACGGCAACAAGAACCAACAACGAGGCACATGCCATCTGGCTTCCTTCCACGTCTGATCTGTCAAAACTTTAAAATTAAATAAAATACATTTACATATAATCTGAAACCTTAAATGTCGTTTCGATTTTACTAATACCGTTTTGACTTCGAACGTGATTTTGACCTTGTTCTACTCTGATTTTGGCAAAATTCAAAACACGGAAATTGTAGTCGTTTGAGACAGCTTTCTAACCCAACTTGAACCAAGTAGATCGGATGTCAGGTGACAAAGTTATGCATCAATGAGTTCCATTTTGAATTTTAGATAACTCGAAACATAAAAAATGTGGGCAGTGTTCATTGATTAATGCATATCTTTCTCACCCGACATCCAATCTTGGTGATTCAAGTTGGATTAGAAAGCTCATGTACATAATTATAGATTCCGTGTTTTGAGTTTCGCCAAATTCACCTCGAAAATGGTCAAAAAAATCACGTTTAAAGTCGAAAAGGTATAATTAAAACCGAAACGATATTTATCACATCCCTTATATAATAAAACTCGAAAAATAAGTAAATGTTAACTATTGGACACATAAGAAATGAATCCACAACATATATGCATTTCATACTCAAGATTAAGCATAATCTCATCTTCGGGGGTATTATTGGAAACTCAACTTGTTTTACAATCGGAGAAAAGTTTCCCATTGCATCAATAACGAGACGTGATGACAAAATCTTTCCATCTGCGAGTTGTAATATCTGTAAAAAGAAGAAAAAAAACAAAATTATAAAAATAATGCATAATAATGCTTTATCAAATTTATCGTCATCAAATTTTATCGTCTAATAGTTAAAAAAAAGTCCATGTAGTAGTTGGCAATTTGCAGGTGTTTTTCTTACAGCTGAATCCTCGTAAACTGATATGTTCGATAAACTGCAACCCTCAAAGATGACACCACCAAGTGAATCGAACCGTTTTCTCATGATATCTATAAGTTTGGCAGGCCTACAATGGCAAACAAAAATTAATCATATTTTCTTTGCATGATACATTTATTCTAGTATTATAAGTTGAATGCATGTATCGTAGATGATAAAAGAAGCCATGTAATACAGGAGGATTATATTTATATAACGAGCTTACGAAACGCCAAGATTGAGAATGTCATTAACCCAAATCTCACCCTTCCCTTCAAATCCACATCTATTCTGCAAAAGTTAACACGAGTGATATACGTCGTTAGATGACATCATGCAGAATCTTTCGAGAATAATCAGATGACGGAAAAGAGAAATAACAAAATAAAGCATTATTACATCTAAAGTAAAGAGTATCATACGGGATTGAAGCTAGCGGAAGTAACAGAAACAATGTCGTCTTCCGTTAGAACACCAACTTCAACAAGCTCCAAAAGCTCTTTTCTTGATATATTCCAGTCTTGTTCCCTCTAATCATCAACAAAAAAAAATAAACTATCAAAAAATCTTTACTTCAATTCGAAAACCCGAAAAAAGAAAAAAAACAAAAAACATTATTAAAAGTTTTACCCCTTTCAAAATACTCTTCTCGACGATTCCAACACGAAGACCTTTAGAACTCAAAGCAGTAGCAATGAAGATTCCCAAGGTGCCTCCACAAACAACAACATCGAATACATCATCACCACCGCATTTTGCAGCTTGCTCCGATTCGCTAAATATACCGGGAATATTCGAAACCACTTGCTGGGGTTCTTGCACAACTGCAAAATCAAAATTAAATTTCACTATCAATAACTCTATAACAATAATATTCCCAATTCAAATTTATATATCTACACACACACACACACACACATTGGAATACCTGGTGAATGAGAGAAAAGGGTAGACCACAAGGAATCCAATCTTTTCAAAGAGTTGTATGAGTATGAACCACCAGCACCACCAACTTCCCCACCACTTACAGATATGCTCTCCATTATCCTCTACAATTAATTCCCAAATTAAGCTTAATCATCGCCATTTTTTATTATTATTAAAAGAAAAATGGAACAACCCACTAATTATTATAAAGTAATATAATTAATCTGAAACTGCAAAAAGAAGAAAAATGGCATTTAAGGAAATAGTACTTGGGTTCTTGAAGGAGGAGGTGCAGCAGTGGCTTGTGCGAGTAAGTAAAAATTCCTTCGAATTGGGAATAATGGCGGAGGAGATAATACAAATGATGATGATCCATGACAAATAGATAATCCTCCATTTTTCACCATTATTCCCTCGATCAACCTTAGTTGTTGGGATTTATATCATACTAAATTATATATAGTCTAAAACTGGACACGTAAAACCCAGATGATACAGTGAGTGGTTCAGAGACAGAAAAAAAAAAATAATAATAGAAAAAAGGGTAAATTACGAATACCCCCTGAACTTAGGCTTACACTACGAAAAAAGCCCACAGTTATCCGTAATTATCAAAATCCCCCGAGGTTTGTCTCCGACTTACACCGACCGCTAATGGTGTGATTTTTCATGTAATCTTTTTGAGTCGGCGGATTATTCCTGAAAAAATGCCAATTCTACCCCCGAAAACATGATATTTATTATTTATGCTATTTTTTAAATAAAAAAATTAACCTTGGAGGGACTTTTTTGTAGGGCTGGGACTTTGGGATCGGGATTCGGGATCCCGTCTCGTCCCGATCTGAATTTTACTATTTGGGACTAAAACTTCGGAAATTCGGGATTACGGAATTCGGGATCGAGATTAGGAATAAATACGGGATCGGGATTCGGGAATTGGTTCAATCCCGATCGGGATATTTTAATCCCGAATTAGGAAAAAAGAAAAAAAAAAAACTAATAAAAACACACACACACACACACACACACACACACACACACACACACATATATATATATATATATATATATATATATATATATATATATATATATATATATATATTGTCAAGGAGATGAGAAAATACAATATAATATATCGTATCAACTTATTTTTAATTTTTTTAAATTTTATTTGTTCGAAGTTTTGTGGTAAAAATAAATAGTGCAAGAACAATAGTATGTATATAATATATTCAAGTTGGTTTGGTGTATAAAATAATACTAATGGAAGAAAAAAAATACAATATTTCTTAGTTTTTAGGCAAAATATGGGATTCCCGATCCCAATCCCGAATTCCCGAAATATTTAGGGATACCGATATACCGGGATTTAATAGTATGGGACGGGATTGAGATTTAAAATTTCTATACTGAATCCCGAAATCCCGATCCCCCGAATTCCCGAAATTCCATCCCGAACTCACCCCTACTTTTTTGCATAATATTTATTCTTCTTAAATACCACATTCACAACCTTTTTAGTATTACTGTTACCGCTCTGGGGGTAATTTTTATCTTCAAAAAATAGCATAAATAAATGTCACGTTTGTCGGGGTAGAATTGACATTTTTTGCAAAATATTCATTGGAATAAAAAAAATTCCGTAAAAAATGACATCGTAAGAAGGTCGGTGTGAGATAAAAACAAACATCGAGGGATTTCAGTAACTACGGATAGGTAGAAATGCTTTTCGTAATTTAATCCAAGTTCAGGAGTTTTTTTCTAATTTACCCTAGAAAAAATCTCAATTTACCTCCATACTTTCAAACTCAAAATTGACCTATTTAGAAAAGTCTAATATACCCTTACAATTATACATTTATGGGGCATTTTGATGTAATCCTCATATCATTTTCTGTAATACCTCTTCCTTATCTCCAATATTAGAGAGACCTCAATTTTTATGGTGCCAGCGTTACCCTTTCTTCATCACCATCTACACACATCTAGTGTATTTTCTTGGGGTTTTTATTTATTTTTCTTTTTTTTTTTTTTAATTCATTGATTTTAAATTTTTTTTCTAATTTAATTTTTTTGTATATTTGTCAGCAGGTTTACTAAATTGAAATTCACTACGAGAGTATCGAAGTTCAGTATAAAAAGTACCAAACTCCAATACGAAATTATTGATATCCACTGCGAAGTTATCGAAATTCAGTATGAAATTAATGTAATTCACTATGAAACTAATTTATACAAATGTACCTCACTAATACAGTATATTTAATATATAGTTCAAAACTTGAACAATTAAGTCGTTGTAGTATAGTGGTAAGTATTCCCGCCTGTCACGCGGGTGACCCGGGTTCGATCCCCGGCAACGGCGTACATAGAAGTTTAAATAGTTTTTATGTTTTTAAACTTTTTGTAACGAGTCTTGTGTTTTTCTTTAGGGTAAATTCCACTTTACCCCCTCGTACTTTGCCTGAGAGTCACTTTACCCCCTCGTACTCTCAATTTTATCGATTTACCCCCTTGTACTTGCACAATTTCCCAATACAACCCTTTCCTTCAATTTTTGTCAATTTTGACTCTAACGCCATTTGGTCAACTCTGTAAATTACAAAATTGCCACTGCCTATAACGCGTCGTTTCTCCTCCGTCAATATTGTCATTTCTTCTTCTCCCACCACTTCCCCTTCCAAGATATCCCCAAATTGAACCCCTAACTTAGTAAAAATCAAGACCCAAAAATTGATCGATTCCACCCAGTGCAAAGAAAAAAATATATGAATGTGTAAAAACTTTCTCTTTTCTAATCTCGAGAGTCAAAATCGAAAAAATTCAATATTTACGTCAATATTTTGACTCTTGACCAAATGGCGTCAGAGTCAAAATCGAAAAAAGTTGACGAAGAGGGTTGTATTGGGAAATTGTACAAGTACAAGGGGGTAAATCGACGAAATTAAGAGTACGAGGGGGTAAAGTGGTTCTTGGGCAGAGTACAAGGGGGTAAAGTGGAATTTACCCTTTTCTTTATTCTATTGGGTTGGTTATTCCTTCAATGCTACTATCATGGTTATTGGGCTACAGCCTACAGAGGTCCAACTATCTGATTTGACATCTGCATATCCTAAGAGTGACTCAAAATAGGTCGAGGTTACTCGAAATACTCGTTCTACTAAGTGTAAAATCAAGACCGCAAAAAAAAGAAATGACAAGTATACCCAACACGTATTTTCCTCTTGTGCAAGACCCAACACGTACGCAATCCAACACCGAAGACCAAGCCCAGTGTCTCCTGTAAAAGGGGGAAAACTCAAATGAGTTTTGTGAGAATCGAACTTTTTCATTGTAATTTTTTATTAAAATATTATTTAGAATTTGTGAGATAATGCTTAATAGTCGATGATTTTGGGATAGATTTGATTTTTTAGAACATTGTCGATCTACTACGTAACTCGGTCTGCAAATATCAAATTTGGATATATTTTCTCGACATTTGCATGTCGTCTAATGTCAATATTTTTCAACATCAACCGATTTTTGTACACTAGATACGACATCTAAGCGTCAAATTTTGTGCATTTTGATCGACGCTAAGATGTCGAAATAAGCTTGTTTCCCAAAACTCGACATTTTAATGCCGAGGTTTGGGGATAAAATTCGACGTCTTAAAAATATGGAGTTTTGGGGACAAAATTCCATTTATAAATATCGAATCGCGTCTGCGCGGAAAGTTTTTGGAAAACGATAACCTAGCTAATAAAACACATAAATGCAAATAATCCTTGGTTTCTTCTACTGTGAAATCTTCTATTTTAATGTCTTTTGACTCCATACTTGCTCTCTTTGTAAGGTTTGTCGAGTTTTGAGGGATTTCAATGTTGTGGATTTATGGAAGAGGAAGGAGAAAAGTTTTTGTGGATTGTGGAAGATGGAGAATATGAGGATTTTGTCTTGTGATTTGTGATTTTTTAGTCTATGGTATTGGATCAATTTTTTGTTTAACAAGTAGGTTGTATTATATATTTGATGATGCTAGAGATAGATCACCTTAGATAGTTGATGAAGATGAGCTGGAAGAGCAGAGTGGATCACTGGCTCACGAGCTTGATGACCTTGAGATACCTGCGATCATAGAACACGTGAACTAGGCCGGGGGTTGATCCGGCGGAAACCCCTCCGACGCTCAAGTCAGACGTGCGGATAGTAGAAATAGTCAAGAGAATACACGTTGAAGTATAGCTCAAATAATAGGACCTACCTTAAGGAATGAGTTCAAACGTTTATTTATAGCTTAGTTGAGATTGTTGGGCCCAAAACTTACTTGAAGGTGATTGGGCCTCGGTGATAGTGGTCTTAAATATTGGACTCGTGACCCATTAGATAAACAAAATTGTAGGCTCATTGGGTTGGCCCAATAAGCGTGCCCGCGCGCACCTCGGGAGACATGCCCGTAATTTTTTGCCTCGGGAAGCGTGTCGGGCGCGCACCTTGGGAAACGTGTCGCGGTTTTTTTGCCTCGGGAAGCGTGCCCGCGCGCGCCTCGGGAAGCGTGTCGGACGCGCTTCTCGGGTAGCGTGCACGCACGCGCCTCAGGAATCGTGTCGGGTGCGCGCCTCGGGAAACGTGCCCGCAATTTGTTGCCTCGGAAAGGGTGTTGGGCGTGGGCCTCGGGAAGCGTGCATGTGCGCGCCTCTGGAAACGTGTCGGATGGCACCTCGGGAAGCGCACCACGCGCACCTTGGGTAACGTGCCCGCGGTTTTTTGCCTCGGGAAGCGTGTCGGGCGCGGGTCTCGGAAAGCGTGCCCCGCGCGCCTTGGGAAACGTGACCGCGGTTTTTTGCCTCGGGAAGCGTGTCGGACGCGCGCTTCGGGAAACGTGCCCGCGAATTATTATTTTTTTTTTTTTTTTTTTTTTTTTTGCTATCCACCCCATTGGGGGATTTGTTATCCTTGGGGTAGTGAGATGATAAGCAACTCTTAGGATGGAATGTCTAACTTTTTTGGGTAGAAATGTAAGAGGGTGTACCACCCTTAAGATGAGATGTTCAACCAATGGTACGCGTGATGTCTAACCGTGGGGTGGGGTAGCCCCCCACCTCATGATGAGGCAATTACGAACCCTGTTATGGTTTTGAAGGAATTCAAGTGTCGTTGACATTATTGGAAGGATGAGCTCGTAAGGGAGAAGTGTTGCGTCTTGGAGGTGAATGTGGGTGTTGTTCTCCAATTCGTATTTCTCGGCGATGAGTGGTTTGTTGCATCCGTAATCGAGGGTTCGAAGTAGATGCTCACGATACACCCGCTTGGTGGTCGTTACCTTGTAGCGGTGGTTGTGCTACAGGTGGAGCTGCATGAGAAGCGTTGACTCCTGCTATGGCGATGTATGGTGCCACTGCTTCAGTGCAACACGAGTTGAAGCTTCCGCGATCATACGCTGAAGGTCCTCCTCGGTTATCTGAACCGTTCGAGGACCAAGTAGAAGTTGATGTTGTTGAAACTTCCGCGATCATAAGCTGAAGGTCCTCATCGGTTATCTGAACCGTTCGAGGAGCAAGTAGAAGTTGATATTGTTAAAGTTTCCGCGATCGAAGGTCCTCATCGGTTATCTGAACCGTTCGAGGAGAAGTGTTATGTCGATTTGGGTTGCCTCATTCTATGATTTCTATTATAATGTTGTTTGTAACGTGTGCATTTTATTCTTTTCTTTCAAATCAACTAATTTTTCTCGTATATTTTAAAATACAACTCTGATGATGCTAAAGATAGATCACCTTAGATAGTTGAAGTAGGATGAGCTGGAAGAGCAGAGTGGATCACTGGCTCACGAGCTTGATGACCTTGAGATACCTGCAATCATAGAACACGTGAACTAAGCCGGGGGTTGATCCGGCGGAAACCCCTCCGACGCTCAAGTCAGACGTGCGGATAGTAGAAATAGTCCAGAGAATACATGTTGAAGTATAGCTCAGATAATATGACGTACCTTAAGGAATGAGTTCAAACGTTTATTTATAGCTTAGTTGAGATTGTCGGGCCCAAACCTTAATTGAAGCTGATTGGGCCTCGGTGATAGTGGTCTTAAATATGGGTTCGTGGCCCATTAGATAAAGAAATTGTAGGCCCATTGGGTTGGTCCAATTAGGTATATCAATATTGTATATTGAAAACTTTAATTTGATATTGTACTTAATGAAACTAGTATTGCAAATAGTCGCAGCCCTAATAAAAACTATTTTTTTTAACAAAGATGTATTATTATTATTATAATCAAGAATCATTGCAGCAACAATACAACGTACATATATCAAGGTTGTAAAAGGCGGTAATCGGGTCCGAGTCGGTCAGGCACCGACTCACGATTAATCGGTGCAGCGGTGATTAATCGGTGATAAATCGGTTTTTAAAATTTAATATAATATATTTCTAAATACTCCAAACATATATAAAAAAAAGATTTAAACATAGTTATATCTCCATCATCTATATATCCTAATAACATAATAAAAGTTTAATAATTATAAGATCATAATACATAAATATCCTTATAAAATATAAATAAAAAAGCAAAATTTTTGAATTAACATTTATTCAGTTCTTTAACAATAATAATTAACATAAACAACTCATATTTTCTTTTATTAAAATCCAACTTTTATTTTGAATTATAAAAATAAAAAAAAAATAAAAAACCGATTTTTAACCGATTTTTGCCACGGAGTTTGACCCGCCTTAAAGGTTTGACCGCCTCAGACCGCCTCGAACCGCCTCAGACCACCTCAAACCGCCTCACAGGCAAAAAACCGATTTTTCAAACCTTTACACTAAAATCGTAAAGATTTTGGACCGACTCGGCCGATTTTTAGAACACTGACATATATAAACATGATTGTTATAAAAATAAAGTAGAAACTTATCATCATCGATCGCATTACAAAATGAACCAAATGCATGTGCCACGTAGACCAGATTCAAATTGATGAGAACGCTCCACAAATTCAAACCAAAATCAACTAGTTTCTCTCTTCTTATTAAAATTCCAGAAATTAAAGCAATTGCAGAACATATGAAAATTGATAAGGTCCACTTTTTCCAAGGGTTTCCTTAACTTGCTTCGAAAGTTCAACATAGCACTTATGCACGGTGGTCGAGTCTTTCGACACGGTGGCGGCTTGCCAGAATATTCCGTTGCACTCTTTCTTGATCAGGTTCACAAACGCATTGCCCGCCTTTCTGTGCCAAATATACGGCAGCCCAGTTTTCATGACCTATACATAATCAAATATATAAATACATTGAGTAAATACCATAAACTTTATTAGATTAACTGGCAATTTGACTGATTAGAAATAGTTCGAAACTTTATTGTATTTACAATATGGAATTATTAGTCGAATAGTTAGTTACACGATATTGACGTACATTGTATGGAAATAACTGGTTATTGACTGATTTTCGTTTATTGATTGATTAGCTAATAGTGAAAGTTGATCAAATACCAAATTAGCAATTCAGGGAAATATCAACTTTGTTGCTAGCTAATTAAATTTCGTCGAATATATTGAACCGACTTAATAACCATTTCGGTAGAAGCAAAACAAACTGTAAGGGTAAATTACGATACGGTGACACCCTAAGGTAATAAGGCTTAATTACGATTTTAGAAAATGACATTTTCTTTAAGATGACATTTCCGTAGGCTAAACGCCTCTTATCATTTCTTGTGCAATGAATGCCTAATATGTGTTAAATGTTGATGCATTAATAATTCATATAAATACGCCTCGGCTATGCTTATAAAAGGGAAAATGACAGTTCCTTTAGTATCGATGCTTTATATTTATACGGTTCTTCTGATACACTTACCTTTGTTTCGATACCATCGAAGATGGCTTGGATACGTGTCCTTACTTTTGCACCATGCACAACCGATGCTTGACACATTGGTGATGTATGTGTCGCGCAATTTGTGGTGTGCATGCGTTCGATTAACCAGCTGTCACGTATCTAGCGCCTATAAATAGCGGCCACTGTTGCCTTCGTTTTTCATCATTCGTACACATGAGTTCTTATAATAGTGCCATAAATAGATCTGCTTCCGTTTTCTGCTTGTAATTTTCTCTTGTGGGCAATTCTCTTGGTTACTGATGATTGTTTTATAGGTAACCAAACTCAACTGTTTTTGGATTGCGGTTTTTATTCGATTTGTCAGCATCATTTCTTATCATTCTATCTTTGTTAATTCTTGTTATGTTTAATAGAACGCATTCGACACGAACATATATAAAGGGAATTGCGTCTAAAATGCTTTTGTTGCAGTGTCTTATGGCAGGAAGGAGGAGAATAAGATTCTTTGCACTTCGATCCAAAAAGAATTCGTCAACTGGAAGCCATATACTCTGCCAATATCAAGCGATGACGTGGCAGATGTATATTGGTCGCAAAAATACTCTTGAATCAATGGCTTTATGTGAAGCACCTCTACGAGTGAAGTGCTTCCTTCAATGGCAGCTAATTGAGGATTTTATCCTCTGTTATTCGCAAAAAATGGAATAGACTAAAATGTCCCTGTCCTCATCAATCGCGTACCGATTGAGTGAGCAGAGGACGAAATCGGAAAAAGTTTGCCTCCGCCCAGACAAGGTTGGGCAGAAGGAGGAAACATATATATAATATATGGCTACATGAGAATGCCATTAATTAATTATTGAATACAAAGATTAAAAAATGGTTATCGTCGTCACGAATAATTTCGTTTGATTATACTCTATGTGGTGGATTAGAGAATTACTGGAGAAGTAGTGCTCATGTTTATTTAGGAAATTAGTTCTCGTGTTTTGTTCGTGTAGATTTATTTATATGTGTAAATTTGTATTCGACATATACATGTCTACGGCGGGATTTTACCCGATGAATTTTACCGAATGTGACATGGAATGAACATGTATTTTACGATAATGTGTGTTATATTTTCGTTGTAAAGGTAAAGCATACAAATATTCGATTGTAACCGATGCATTGAGTGAAGAAAATCATTCCAATTAATTAATTTAATTTTTCCTATTAGTTACTATTTTTTCCATAGAAATTTATAAATAAGGATCGCAACTTAAGAAGTTAAAATTTCCGTACTGCATACAATCGGATTCCAAAATATGCTTTACAAGGATAGTTCGATCTGCATATGAAAGACATTTGGTATACCTAGTGGAAATACATACACAAATTCTGAATTTCGAGATACTATCATAAAATGTATTTTTTGTAACCCTTCCGAGAATGAACGATTGAACGTTAGCAAGACCCCGACATAAATTAAAACACGACATTTCAATTTTCATCGAAGAAGAAATATTTTTGATTTGGACCAATTAATATTTAACCCTAAATGAAATAGATTGGAATTCTAGGACCAATTTTGCTAGGTTTCAAATTGTAAAATGAGTTGACCCATTTGGGTTTTTTTGTTGATTTGGTCAAAATACTAACACTGATTTGCATATGGCTTCAAAATCAAGGGACGAATTTGCAAAAAGGACGACAACAAATATCGATGATAAATTAACAAGATGTCCAAATTGCCCACTTTGTGGATAAAACCCCCTTCTCTCTCTCTCTCTCTCTCTCTGGTCGAGGGTTTAAGGTTCTGCCGAAGCCAAAAGGGTAAGCACTTGTTTTTATTTATTTCTCAAAATTAGGGCTTTCATTTCGCTGCAATTTCTTCGGATTCCTATGTTCTGCAAATGGTTTTCTGAATTGGGTAAAATTACATTGTTTTGATTGCTTCCACTCGGTGAGTATTGAAATGGAAGAAATTATGCATATATTTAGAGAATAAAAGATTGAATCTTTATTCAAAAAATGTAGAATCAAATGAAAATTCCATTTCTTTATTTTCCTTTATTTTTTGTTATGAAATTCGTTCTCTCTGAGCATGTATGTATGTTGTTTCACTCATTTTCAGTCTATATTTTATCTGTGAATCGATTCGTATTGTCGAATTGTTCGTTTGTTCAATCCGCCACTTCTTCGATTTCGGTGAAATATTTAAAGTAAAAAAAAAACAGCAGATATGGCGATGGCCAGTTCTGCCATGTCACCGCCGATGGCGATGAATAAAAGCAATAAAACGCAATTTAGAACATCAATTGCTGCTCGGAAGCAGTATCAGACGAGTACGGGTATAAGAGCGATGAAGATCGAGAAGACATTGGAGGAGCTCTATAGTATAAAAGTTGAAAGGAAAGTGTCGAAGGAGCGGCTGTCGGAGCTTGGTGTGTCGAGATGGTCGGTTTGGAAAACGGGAAAGTGTAAGCTTCCGTGGGACTGGCAAGTTGACCAGCTCGTTTATATCGAGGAAGGTGAAGTTAGAGTTGTGCCTGAAGGGAGCGAGAGTTTTATGAGTTTCGTTGCTGGTGATCTTGTTCGATACCCTAAGTGGTTCGAAGCTGATCTTCACTTCAATGATTTCTATCAAGAACGCTACAAGTTCCGAGCTTACGGTGATGACTAGTTCATCTTCTTTCGTTTTTCTTTTAGCTTTATTTGGCCGAGATTTATGTAGAAGAATCTATGTTGTTGTTGTTGTCTACTTTTTTTGAAGGTTATTATTAGATTCAAGTGAAATATGGCACTATTATTAGTATGTGACATGTTAATTAGATTCTATGCTCATATTCTTCACACACACAAAACACATTTTTCCTCACATTTTTCCTCACACACGACACAAAACACATTTTTCCTCACATTTTTCCTCACACACGAAAGCTTGGCCCGTATTGTTTTCGTGAATTATAATCCGAGGACGACTAATTAATTGTTGTGACGAAGAAGAGTTGGGGATTTTGGGTGTTGAACTAGGATGATTTTTTTCCACACTAAACATGTTCACTACTACTCTTATACAATGGCAACGCATCTGAAATAATAGTATTCCGTCTTTTTAAACCTAGCAAGAAATATTTACTCAACAACAAGTTCATTCAATCGAACCACACGTGATTATGATAGTAGCTCTTCGTAAGCTTCAATCTTCGTTCGCTGTATACTCGGATATTTTCAAGCCTTCATTCTAAATTCATTGATTTCAATGCAGTATTTGAAGAGTTCCTTATTTTAAGAGTATGTTATTAAGAATGTATATATTATACCGTATTTGAAGGTTCTAATACTTAGGAGAGTTGTTTGATCAATTAAGGTAACCCCATATCTTATAGGAGTAGATCTATACTATTTTTGTACCACAAATTGAACTCATTCAAATATTTTCTTGCTTTAAGTGTATTTAATTAGATGTTTATAAAGTTTTGGGCAAATTACGAAAAAACCCTGAACTTAGGCTAAATTATGAAAAACACCCTCATCTATCCGTAATTATCAAAACCCCCTGACTTTTGTTTCCTATCGTACACCGACCCCCTTACAATGTGATTTTTCACGATAAATCTTTTTGATTTCAAGGAATATTTCATAAAAAAAAATGTCGATTCTATCCCTACAGATATGCCATTTTTTTATGCTACTCTTTAACTGGAAAAAATTACCATTAGGGGATTTTTACACAAAATCTTTATATTTTTTTAAATAACATCTTCACAACTTTTTAGTACCATTACGCATCTGAGGGTAATTTTTTGTCTTTAAAAAATAGCATAAATAAATGCCACATTGGCAGAGGTTGAATTGACAATTTTCGGGAAATATTACGTGGAATAAAAAAGATTCTGTGAAAAATCACACCGTAAGGGTCGATGTAAGACGAAAACAAACGCCAGGAAGATTTTGGTGATTTACACATATGTGGGAAGTTTTTAGTAATTTATCATAAAATTTTAGTATCTCTTACTGGTATTTGATGGGAAAAATGCAATAGTTCATAATATAATGAATAAATTACATTTGGTCTATAAAGAGGGGCCCCCAAATTACTTTAATATTTTGAAGTGTAGCTATCATTCCCAAGCTAGTTACCGTTACAACCCTTTCTTCCTGTCCTTTCAACACCAGATGTTAATAATAATAAACACACTAAAATCCCCCACACACACACCAAGAACACACACTACAGAGACCAAGAACACACACACACAACACACAGTGAAGGGTGAGAGATGACGAACAGTACTATCGATAGCGCTGAGGTTGTTCTTCCAATGTCGTCGTCGTCATCGTCTAATTATTCCCAAGTCTACTCACTTATTACAAAACATGTATCTTACAGGTTCTACTTTCTCACTCCTTATTAATTCACCTCTTAATACATCTTTCTAGCTTTCTGTATATAATATGTACGTATATATGTTTTGTGGCAGTTGTGGGTCCTGTGGATACGAATTAAACCTGAATTCGTGCAACCGCGACATATCGGAACAATACGAAAAGTCAATAAAACGAGGGGTAATTTCGTTCTATTCGATAGACGAGAGTAGGTTTACTGAGATGAACAACAAAATGATGAGATGGAGATTGTGGTTTCTATTTCAAGGAAGATCAAGAACCAAGTTGCTCTGTAGAAACTGTGGGAGCTATATTGGTACTGTGTGCAATATAAATAATAATAATAATTCTTCTTCTTTTTCATCTGCAATCAAGAACACTTCTGCAGTTACTTGGGATGGGATTTCTGCTCGTAGAACTTACGAGATTAAAATTCGCTCTTTGAGCCCGTTGGATCGTTTCTGTTGATCTGGAGATTATAAGAAAAATGGGATCTTTTTTGTGTTTTCGTATGTAGACTGTGGTGTGTGTGTGCCAAGTGTGAAGAAATAAGGATTCAAGACCATGTTATGTTCTTGTGCAGGGGTGAAATTTAGAAGGCTATTTTCCATCTAATTTTTTTTGGAATAAATTTGTTCATTTTCAATTTTCAAAATGTTCAGTTTGTGATTTTTTTTGTAATTAGAATTGAAGTTCTATTTGAATTCCAATTCCAATTTGTATATTAAAGATAGGTAGTTGAAGCAAAGATTTTAAACCCCACCACCAATTCAAATTAATTAAAATTTAAAATCAACTTCGAAACAATTCTTTTATTTCCAATTTTCAATAATTCAATTTTCGATTTCCAAAAAAAATAAAAAAATGAAATCAGATTCACTTTTCTTTTTTACTTAAGAAAAGTAATATGTGCAAGTAAATGAGCAAAACATACAACAGAAGTAACATCAAAAGCAGATGGATATATTTGCTGATGCATGCAGATTGAACCTCAACCTGTACACCACAAAAGGTTCAGACAACAAATTGTTTCGCGTTCCAAAACAAGTAGAATCGAATTCAACCGGAGATAAAATTGCCTAAAATAATATGCGGGAAGATTTAATAGTTTTCCCAAACAAAAACTTGATCCATATCAGTCTTACCACATAATCTGACAGCAAATCAGCAATGCTGTAAAATACTGAGGTAGTTACAGTCTCTGGATGACAACTGAGTTAGCTATTCCAGCTTGGTCAATGGTCTGGTCAAGATCATCCAGTTTCTTGGGAGGGAATCCCATACTTTGCAGCTGATACGAAGTTCTCTGAGGCCTAGACGCATCGATAAAGGCTCTGACATCTCTGATCGTGTGGTTGTTATTGAATCTTGAAACCATGCGAGTACCATCTGCCAATCTCAGCTGAATCGACGTTGTAGATTGAGTCTCGTCAACCACCATTCCCATAGATGGTGCCGGTGCACTGGTCATCAACACAGTTTCCGGCTCCACAGGCGTCGTTGTTATGATGACATCATCACTGCTGCTGCCAAGTGTTCTTCCAACACCACGAAACGGAACATCCCGTTTTTTCGGCTCCTGTACAGAATATAATTATTGTAAGAATATCGCAATGAACGTGTTAAGGTGAGGTGGATTCCAGACAAGGATTCCAATTCCATCGCAATAACTCAAAAATTAGTCCGAATTAAGATTTAGAAAAGTGAACATAAATTATTAGAAAGTGGACAGAAGAAACCTTGTAGTCATCGTCCTTCCTCACAAGACTAACACGAACTTGGTTGTTCTTATCTGCAGGAACAAGTTCCGTTGGGCACTCAGACTTCTTAATACTCTGCATCAGAATATATTTGAACAATTAACACCATTTAAAAAAAGCTTTTAACCGAAAAATTTCCACAACTCTAGCTACTATATTTACATTTATGGAAGCAATATAGAAAATCGAAGTCCTCCAACAGTATATTTTGCCAAATGATCAAGAAACGAAAGAAGATACCTCCAAGAAAGGTGCATTTAGGGGATCATCCAATCTCCTAAAAGGTCCATCGTTAACTGTAAATCCATTTCTCCAAAAAGTGATAACGTGATTAATATTCTGAGGAGGGGGCGGAGGGGTAGTAGTAGTAGTAGACGACACATCATCCCCAGAAAGTAGTCTTGGAGTTCCAGTAAAGCCTCTTGAGCTCGAAGAAGAAGGCAATTGATGATCTGCAGACGCTTCTACAGCACCTGCTCGTCTTGCTTGATTGAATATTGCATCTACATTATTCGCCCTTGATGGGTCTCTAACAACCATTCCACTGTAAAAAAACAAAATGGCATGAGCTAATTAGTATATACAACTCAACTCACTGATACATAATATATACAGTTTATTCCCTACATAGAGAAGAGAACTACTTCCAAGGAACTCGTAAATAATCAAGAAACAACTCTGGAAAGAAGAGATGCGCATCATTAAACCAAAGATAAATATATTGGGCTCTTGGAAAATTGACAAATAGCTGTTTCTCAACGATTGATTCGTCAAATTTACTTTGTCACTAAAATGTACGGCATTTCCTCTTGCAGAGTTTTCGGAATTTTTAGATTATACACTTACATATTTGGGTTCTCAATCATGTATTCATACTTCATAGTACTGACCTCTTGTTTATTTACCAACCAATTCATTGGTTGGACCCCCTATACATTCAAGAACTCAAATAAATTTCGACAAAGGAATTTAACTTAATCACTGAACCCAGCATCTTTTCATTTAATCAAAGCTATATATATCGGGCTTCTTGGAAAATTACTATATAGTTATATTTCAATGATTAATTTTGCCAAATTTAACTCATGAGTCATCACAGATTTTTGGATTTTTTTAGATTATACACTTATGCTTGTTCTAAATCATATATTGAATTCATAGTATTGATCTCATCACTTCACTGGTTGTAGTATATCTACCGCAGTATATCGGAGCCTATACGTTCAAGAATACAAATAAACTATCTAGCAGAATTGAAGTACTGTTTTTCTACTAAAGAATTTAAGTTGATCATTGAACCCAGAATACTGTAGAAAATGAAATAGATTATTTATTAAGGAATTATTTACCTCTTTTCGCCGCCGGTGTAGTAATCCTGGGGATTAAAGTCAGGATCGCTATCAGAATCCTCATCATCGTCTTTAGGGTTTCTGTTCAGATCCGAAAAAGTCCTAATTCCGCGTCTCGGTGCAGCAGTGCTAGGTTTAGATGAGGAGCGGAGACTGTAGGAGCGGGAAGCAGGCGGCGGCGAAGGGGATCGGGAACGGGAAGGGGAAGGAGAAGGAGACATCTCAGTAGGGGAATTGAACGCCGGAGAAGTTGGATTGACCGCGGCGGCGGCGGCGGAATCAACGGGATTGGCGTCGTCGAGGAAAGTGGAGACGGCGGCGTCGAGATCGAAATTGTGGGACTCCAAGAAGAAGAGGGCTTCGGATTGAGAGGCGCAGGCGGTTATTTCGCAGAAGGTGTTGATGAGTGAAATATGAGGGTGGTGGCCGTCGATGATTGCTTCCGACGGAGGGTTCTCCATTGTTGAAGGGGGTTAGATGCTTTGCTTCAGAATTGAGAATTTGGGAATTAAAAAAGAATACCGAAGGATGACTTCTATCTATGTATTACGTCTCTAGAGTGTCGTACCAACTTGGAAGGAGATCAAAGTGAAACCCCTTAGTTAGTTTATTTAGAGCCTGTTTGGCTAAGCTTATAAGCTCCTAAAAACATCTTATAAGATGTTTAGGAGCTTATAAGTTGTTAAAAGGTGTTTGGTAAAAAAAATACAAAAGATCTTATTTTTTCCAAAAATAAGCTGTTAGGGAGCTTATAAGATGTTTTTAAAAAAGTACCTCTACCCCACTTTTTTTCTTTAAGATCTTATTTGCTTCTTTACTAAAACACTTAAAATACAAAATTACCCTCAAATACTTTATTATATTACATAAATACTAATAATATTTATATTTTATCAAAACAACGTATTCTTGTAATCAAGATTAATAATTAATTAAATATAATTATCGTAATTATCATAATAATTGTAAAAAAAATTATTCTCTATTTATATTTTATATGTATATAAAAATACACGAATATTCTTATTATCTCCATAATAAATTATATTTCTTTCATCTATAAAAAAAATTATATTTCTTTTACAACTTTTATTTTATATTATTATTATTATTTGAAAAAATAATTTGTAAATATTATAATAATATTTTAGGAACAAAAGTATTTGAGTCAAATAAGTTTAACAATTATACTGACGTCATGTACTTTTTGTCATTATAGCAATAAACAGACCTTTTATTTCCAAACACCTGAACAACTTATAAAAACAAAAAGTAACTTATAAGCTACATATCCAAACACCTTAAAAAATAATTTTTAAAATAAGATCTAACAGCTTATCAGCTCCTAAAACATCTTATCAGATGTAGGAGCTTATAAGATGTTTTAAATAAGCTTAGCCAAACAGGCTCTTAGTCTTGCATATAGCCGCAGCCTTTATTTAATTGTGTTATTTGGGGAGACAATACTAGTAAAAGTAACATAGCATACAATGTTTTGTCATTCAATTTAAAATATAGTGCAAGTTAAAAAAAATGATGAATACAAAAAAAATAGTAAATTACAAAAACAAATCTGACTATTAAAATTGAACAAAATTAACACCAAAAGATAAATCTAGACTAGAGGAATTAATTCAATATTGGGTAATCTGTCAAATTCCGACAACCAGAAAATAAATTACTTCTCCAAGAAAAATCGTCGTCGAAATAAACGCGCACTGTAAAATGACCACATAAACAAATCGATAGCTCCAAAATATAAAAAAATACCATCAAAAGAAATAGCGCGATTAGAGGAATCTAGTGGTAGTTAAACCATCAAATTCCGACCGCCAGAAAGAAAGTTATGACTTCGAGAAGACCCGTCGTTATTCAAATATGCGTGAATTGTAAAACGGTTGCATAAACAAATCCAGAGCTTTAAACCGTATGAAATCACCATCAAAAGAAAGAACTAGGCGAAAGGAATTCAACGATGGTGTAGTCATCGAATCTGACATCCAGAGAGATACTTACGACTACAAGAAGCACCATCGTCTGTCGAAAACATATTTGGCGGAATTTTGGATCAGAGAGTGGAAGAGAAAGAGAGAGCCAAAATAATTATTAAATATGTTGATGAAATGCATTTGTATTTTGCACTTGTAATTTCAGAAGGATTATGAATATAAAATTTTTGATTTGGAATTTGAGATCCCAAAAAATGCCACTAAAAATACTAAATTATTTTTATTAGCTTTAAAATTCATTATAGATAATTATACATGATTTATTTTGTTTTGAAGATGCAAAAAGCTAGTAAATTTTTTTTAGGTCGCAGAGTGCAAAAAATAAATATTTCAAGGATGCATAGTGGGATTAAGCCATCAATGCCCACTTTGACAATTTCTTAATGCAAAATATAAGCAATTACATAAATCTTTAGAATTGTTAAAACTTTAAAAAAATTACAAAATACATGATAATATCACACGGGTTATCAAATAAAGTAAATGTTAATATTGGAGACACCTCTCAAACCAAACCTAATTAGATGTGAAGGACAACCTCAGATAGAACATTTTAAGTAAATTCTTAGTTGAAAATAAAATTTGACCAAAATCTTTTTATTTTTATTTAGCCCAAAAATACATTTATTATACCTAATAAAAATCAACGTTTCTTCCTCTCCTGTCATATCTCTCTCCCCGTCGCCCACCATGGCATTTTCTCTCTTTTTTCAATTTTCCACCACCCACTATGGCCTTCTTTCTCTCTTTCTTCATTGGCCCCAGCCTTTTTTCTCTCCTTCTCTCTATCTCTCTCTTTCTCTATTTTCGGTAATGGTGCTGACTTAGAGGTATTAGTTATAGGAGTTTTTTAGATCGGATCTTGGTGTGGGGGCGGCAGGTGGCTGGCGGTGGTTTTGCTCACTAGGGGCGGCTGTGGTTTTGGTCGCTGGCATCGGTGGTGGTTTTCTTCGACGACGACGGTAATTTTTTGTTAGAATTTGATGTTGGGTTTGAGGAAGGGGAAGATTAATTAAGATGGATAGTGAGACATAGAGGAAGAGGATGGAAGTGGTGGTGGTGGTGGTGGCAGATCTAGGGTTCATATTGAATGAGTGCGAATGACTACGGTCTACGAGTATCTTTGAATTACTACGAGTGTTTACGAATGGGTAGCGACTAGAGTTTTAAGAGTATGTGACTACGGATTACTATGGTTCTTATAGGTGTCTATAGTCGATTACAACCGATTTTTTTTAAAAACATTCACAATTTTCAGTATTATTAGTAAATTATAGTATACCATAGTATGCCATAGTATTTTAAAATCTGTTGTTTTATTTAATAAAAACGAAAAAAAGAAAACTCATAATTTTCAGTAAAATGTTGAAAATAAAGAAAAAAATTAAGTTGTTTATAATAATGTAAAAAATGCTAGAGTGAAAAACGAAAAAATAAAGTCTATAAAAATAAAATAAAATATGTTAGATGAAAAAATAAGATATTAAATACATAATAAAAAATGATAAATACAGTTTGAATTTTACTAAATGCAAATTTCGAATTTGTGAGCAGAAGGGCATTTTTGAAATAAATTTAATAAAGAATGTGAAGCAAATGTTTAATTTTACTTGTCATTTAGTTCTAATTAATTTTATCACCAGACACACATATTTTAAGCTCCATAAAGTAAAAATAAAATCAATTAATTTCAAACTGTAGCACATCACGGAGTTGTGAGCAATAAACAAAATAAAAGCTGTACCAGTAAATAACTCCGTATAGACTAAGAAAGTTGCCATGAATTATATAGCTTTGCTATCAAAGAAAGAGAGGAGCAAGTAACACACAAATCTACATTCATAAACAAAGTTACAAATGAATTACAGAGGTAAAAACTATCGGAAAAATACACACTCTGCTTCACGAAAAAAAAATGAAAGAAACAAGGATACTCGATAAAAATCGCATCCCGTATCATTGTCAAGTTAAATTAGAAACACTCAGTTCACTCTTCTTTTTTATCTCGATATACTACAGTATACTACTACCATCACTTAACTTCTACAGTATAACAACATCTCGTCGTGTTCGTTTCATTGTGCAGGATGAGTCAGCTCCTTATCAACGGTTAGGAATACTCGTATCGATCTTCTGCATGCACACACCAAAAAAAAAACAAAAAAAAAGAAAGAAGACATGTTCATTATGTTCATCATCTAGTTATCCAACAAAATCAAACCAAACAGTTGCAAATTTTGTTCGTTTCTGCCCCTCGTACTACGACATTAATTTACGTAATGGCGACTGGTCACGTTTCTGGCTGACACTATATTACTTTCTTCTGAAGTATTTAATGTTGATTAAGGCCAACTACTTTCTTCCCTTGCATAAATGAGACAACAGTTGCAGTTTCGTTCGGTATCCAAGTTAAGTTGGCTATCAAGATCCAGACAAAGAACCGACGTTTCTTTTCCCGGAACATGCAAATCTCTAATCCATGATTTTGAGAATCTAAAAATCAAGAATCTTTAGTCAGATTATTCTGAATCCTAATAATTCAAGAATCAATCTCAAATCTGTTTAACTTACGAAAGAATTAAATTCAATCGCCGTAAATCACAATGTGGCAACCAAAGACATAATCCAATAGTTGCATTGCTATTTCCCGAAGCATGAAACATTAAGCAAGACAAAATCAAATCAAGATTTTTCACATCTAATTAAACTTTACAAATTGTTACCTTTCATTGGCCGAAGATGATTGATTTACCTTCTAATCGGTTAATCCCGCCACGTTCTAGTTAATATACTAGTTAGCCGATTAGCAGAGAGTCTCTGCAAAGCCTTTTTAGCTCCGGCCACCTCCATTTCTGCTAATCTCTGCACATGCCCGTAAGCACCTGCCGCCACAAGCTTCTTCCGGCAGCTCTGGCTCCCACCAGCCATTATTGCCGCCACCACCGCCACCGGAAACTTCTTCAAGACAACCTCGTTTTTAGGATCCAACATTTGAACCAACCTCATCAAACTTTTCTCATCCTTCACCAACTCTTTCCTATTTGATTTCACCGACAACAACGACAACAAAGCCTTCGCCCCAACTTCTTGCATTCCATCAGGCTTAACAGACTCCATTAGCTTCACCAAAGAACTCATACACAAAGCGATAGCCCTCTTATTACCATCGCTAATTGCTAAATTAGCCAGCAAAGAAGCAGCGATGTGTTGTATCATTACATTCCCGTGCTTTAAAAGCTTTGCAATTTGTATTATAAACGGGGTCGATCCAGATAACAATCTATAGCTAGCATCCGAGACGGATAACGAATAAATCGCACGTAAGACGTGTTCAAACGTATCAGAAGAAACCGAGCATTCATCGTGAAACAAATGCAACAATCTCTGCAAGCCCTTTTCATGTAACAACAACCCTCGGAAATACTCACTCGTGGAAGCAAGAATCGAGATACAATTGGCGGCTGTTCCCCGAGCCGAAGGATTGGTTTCAGAAACAAGCAACTGCATCAAAACAGGAATCGCCCCTTCTTCTGCCAAAGCAATTTGAATATCTTCAACAGTCAGAACATTTCTTATCGCCCCGACAGCGTGCGATTGTGCCGTTGAGGAACTGGATTTACACAATTCGATTAGAATGGGAACGCCACCGTATGCAGTAATAGCCCAAGAATTATCGGAATCGGCAGTTATGAACTCCACAGCCATGGCGGCTCTTTCCTTTGTAGGCATTGAAGTGCATTCGATTTCGATAACTCTCAACAAAGGGCCCAAAGCCCCTTCTTCGAAGACGCATTTCCGCGGGAAATCACCCGCGGAGACGAGCAAAGACACTGCGAAAACGGCGAGCTCTCTGATAATGGAATCGTGAGCGTTCAGATCGAGTAGGGAAATCAAACAGCCGAGATTCCCTTCTTCGGCGACGACTGCGGCGGATTTGTCGTCCTCGGAGAGGAGCTGGATTAGAGAATCCAACGCCTTACGCTTGAAATCCAGGCCGCCGATCTGGAGCCTGGTGAAGAGGTCCTTGACGAAAAATGCGAGGTCGTCAATGGAGGAAGTGGGGTTGGGGCGGGAGAGAACAATGGCGGTGGACTGGTGGAGGACGCCGGAGCGGAGGAGGAGGTCAATGTCGTTGATTTGGCTGGAAAGCCAACCGGCGGCCATGTCGAGGTCGGACTGCATGAGGAGCTTGCCGTGGGTGAAGGGAGCGTCGGAACAGCAGTGGTGGGAGAGGGTTTCGGTGCGGCGGAGGGTGGAGAGCAAGGAGGGGAGGATGGGGAGGAGGAGAGGGTTTTCCGACCAGTGTGGGGAGGAGGAGATTTCGGAGATGAGGGTTTTCAGGGAGGAGAGCTTCAGGCGAATGACCTGCCACCTGGAGGCGAAGCATGTGACGGCGACTGTGGCGGGGAGAAGTTGGGATAGGAGCTGGGTTATGCTTTGGAGAGTTTCGGAGGGGGACGGCGGCGGAGGTGGGTCGGCGGCGGCGGAACGCATTTTCCGGCGGGGTTTTACTTTTGTGAAATGTAAAAAGGGAGGAATAGTTGTTGGAATTACTTGGGTAATGTGCGTGAGGGATTAAAGTGCCAGTGGGAATAACAGAGCAGCGGTGGTGGTGGTGGTGGTGGCGGTGGTGGTGGTGGTGGGATGGCCCATTGAATTGGTTTGTGAAAAGAAGAGAAATGGAATTGGGAAATGGCGTGCACTGCTAAAAAGAAACATTGATTCAGGGTTTTTGTGGGTGCTGCTCACAATATCTAAATACTCAATTTCACCCCCTGAAGTAAGGTTTATTTACTAAAATCCCTAATTAATAAATAATTACTTTCACACCCTTGTAATTTGTATATTTCTTACATTAGCATCCTTTTTTAGGGGTGGATGTAAGAAATGTTTAAACTACAGGGGTCTGGATGTAATTTATAAATATTAAGGGAATTTTCCGTAATTACACTTTACTTCAGGGAGATAGCTGTAATTTATCCTTTATATATCTTAAACTTAAAGTCGGAGTGTACTTATGAATTTTTGTTATTGCAATATTTTAAGTCTGGTATATCAGATAAAAAAGAATAGGAGTATCTCTATATGGAAGTATATTAATTTAGTTTTTAAAAATATTTATTTACTTTTTAATTTTTTTATTTATATTGGGCCCTTTCCTACTTTCACTACAATTAGATATCTATTTTTTCCCCTATATATACACGTATAATATATACACGTATAAACACAAACACAATTCATAAACACAACTGTCTCTCTGAAAACACATCGGAGAATCATATATATTCTATTTTTTCCCCTATATATACACGTATACACAATTGTCTCTCTGAAAACACATCCATACAATTGTCTCTCTGAAAACACATCCATCGCCACCTCTGTCATGGATTCAAAGAAAAATATAAAAATCAACGACGACTTGTTGAGGGAGATACTCGTCCATCTGCCTCCAAAAACCCTTTTCAAGTTCATGACCGTCTCCAAGAAGTGGAAGTATATCATTAACGATCCCACCTTTCTTAAGTTCCACAGCAACAAACAACGCCGCCGCTCCTCTGCCGTCGCCGGAGACGATGGCGGCCATCTGCTGGCACTGTTCCAATTAACAACCAAACACTTGTCCGGCAGATACCGCCGCCGTCCTTCGGAACCCGCAATGAACATACTCGCCGTTTTTCCCCACGGAAACCCCGAAATAATGTGCGTCGAAAAGGAACTAGGATACTTCATCAACTCCTCCGAGGGTTTAGTCCTCTGCGGCCGCCACTCGTCCAAGTACCACGTCATGAACCCCGTGACCAAAAAGTGGGTCCTACTGCCACCGCCGCCACGTCATCGTCTAGACCAAGACCAACAATACTATCGTGATTGGACGATCGGATTGATGGTCACTGCGTGGGAGGGAGACAAGAGCTACATAGTCGTTCGAGCCGCCTTGACGGATGATCTCGACCAACAATTGCCCATCGAGACCTACTCGTCTAAGACGGGCGAGTGGGTCCCGTCGATGCTCTTTGGCACGGGGGAATTCGTCCTGCACCCCTTGCCCGGGGCCCCGTTGGTGGCGAACGGCGTTTTCCACTGGTACACGTACAATTGGCAGATTGCACTCTACGACCCTAGCGATGAAACGGGCCACGTCCAATTGATCAAGATCCCATATTTGGATGGTGCGGTTTCACGAGCTATAACAAGGTCCTCTGTCGACAACACATTATGGTTTGGAACAATCAACCCCGACAAAATCCAAATCTATAAACTGCCCAAGGGTGAAAAAGACGGTAGAATGAGTTACAAGCGGAAAAAAACGATACCTTGCCATGAATGGGAGCTGGTCCACGATATCGACATTGAATCGTTGGGCGTGTTTTTTCATGTTCCAGATCCCGAGAAGAATCGAATGGATAGGATTCGATTGGAGTGCTTCGTACCAAATTGGTATCCACTTGTGCTTGTACTTCGACAAGCAGAAAAGATTTTTCTATACAATTTGGGTAGTAATAGTGTTGAGTGGGTTTCATACTATGGATGTCCTTATAATCATCTCGTACATGAGGAGTACTTGTGTCCTTATATCGAGTCGTCTTGCTTGTCTTCGTATTTTGTTTGATTAGGAAGATTTTCGCTTTTTTCCAGTACTTTTCGATTATTTGATTTGATCCTCCTCAATAATCTCAATAATACGAGTAGTTTTTCGTTTTTTTCAGTACTTTTCGATTATTTGATTTGATTATTGATTTTTTGTTCCATATACTCGATTATTTATGTGCTAAAAAAAGGTATAATAAGAATATTAAAAAATATAATAAATAAATAAATAAAGATCCACATAATTCTCCTTTCATCTAAAACAAAATTACCATAAATTTCAGAAAAAAAAAAGAAAAGAAATTATCTCAAATCTCCATAACCATGGAGGAAGATGAACAAGTAATAAATTCATCCCCTGAAAAATCCACCGCCGCCGCTACCGCCACCACCCCAGCAACCACAAACCCTACATAACATGCTCTGATTCGTACTCCAAAGCCCACCTCGTCATCGAAGCTCTCTCCGCCATCCTCCCCTCCCTCCCGCCGCACCTCTCCTCCTCCGAAACCCCCGCCACCTCCCTCCTCCACGACTCCGACGTCGCCACCCAGATCTCCCTCCTCCTCCGCCGCCCGCAACGGCCAGGCCATCATCACCATCAGCATCCCCGACCTCGCCCACGAAACCAAACAGACGGCGGCCAAGAACGGCTCCACCTCGCCGCCATCTCCCCAACCCTCGAACCCCACGGCACCGTCTGATCCACGCGCCGCCCAAGAATCGTGCACTCGAACTCTACTGCACCAAAATCTCCCGAATCCCAATCGGTTCCAAGATCGAATTCTGCAAGTTCTGCAAGATTTGGTCCGGTCAATACTCCGACCAAACCCTAAACGAATATAATATGACTAATATAATATCAATTTGATTTTTTATGATGTTTGTTGCATGCATAATGGATATTCTCTGCAAATATAATTTTTGGCTGATCGGTTAGGGATTTAAATTTAGTTTGATTTTGATATGCAATGATTTGCAAATTTAGTATTTTCAAGTCATGTTTTAATTACTAGAATTTTTCAGTTTTTAAGTGTCAACTTCAAATGCGGTTTTTGATTTTTTTTTTTTTTACTCTAAATTTTGCAAAACTCGAAATATTGAATTTGTAGGGGTTTTAGTTAACTTTGTAATCCAATTTGGATCATCGAAACTGGATGTCGGATGAGAAAGATATATATTAACCAAATGAACATTGCCTGTAATTATGTTTGATGTTTTGAATTATCTAAAATTCAAAATATGACTTATTTATGAATAACTTTGTAATAGACAAATTCACACTTGACACTGGAATATACAAGAAATAATAAGAAGAAAATGTTCTATTATACTTACATTTGATCTCCCATATTCTTGTTTTACTTGAGTTTCTTTAGTATATTTATAACAAAATTTCTAATTTAAGAAAATCAATAAATATATACATATTATAACAAGAAACATGGGAAATCATTAATTCACCCTTATTATTAATTATTTACTCCATCCATTTCTTCATAAGCGTCATTTTACCCTTAGATTTTTTTTATATTAAAGTCACATTAATTTTGAGTTAGTTTCAAGGTATAATTAATTATTTTTTTCCAACTTTACACCAACATTAATGATAAATTAATGAAATTAGAAAGATAAAATGGAAATCCACACAGGGGTAACTTGGTCAAATAAGGATTATTTTCCACAAATCAATCCTCTCTCCATTTTGTTTTAATTGTCATTTTTAGCTTTGCACAAAGAATAAGAATTTTATTAAATGTGTCTTGATTTTAGGAAAATATATGTATTTAGATTAAAATAACCTTGTCTTAAAATTAATAAGAGAGATAATTAGTTGAAAAAAGAGTATTGATAATAGTTCATTAGGGTATAAATTAGAAATTAAGTAATTAATGAAGTGTTGGAAATTTAAAGTGACAAATAATATGGAACAAAAAAAATTCAAAGCGACAGATATTATAGAACGAAGGGAGTATTATTTAATAATTTTCTTAATTTGTGTGCTTTTACCTTAAACGACACTTAAAAATAAATGGATGGGAGTATCAACTAACTAATTAAGAATGACGAAGGGCAAAATTTAAAAAAACAATGAGTACTTCATTGAAAATATAAAGTGACAAGTAATTTGAGAGAAGAAAAACTCTCCAAGAAACATATATTATGGGACGGAGAGAGTACATTACCAAAATTGTTAATTTGTTTTAGAAATTAATTGTTAACTTGTCAAATAAGGATTATTTTTCACAAATCAATATTATTATTTAATACTTTCAAGTTTCAACTCTATTTTATCTCCACGTGTGTATATATATATATATATATATATATATATATATATATATATATATATCATAGCAAGTAGCTCGATTTGATTTGATTTTCAACCGCAAGCCGCAAGATATGGAAGAAATAAGGAGAATATAAAACAAAAAAAATGAAAGAAGTAAATTACATGCAAGACTAAGAGTAAAGAGATGTTATTTATATATGTTTATTCCCTTAAGTTTAACAATTCAATAAATAATAATAATAAAAACATACAAAAGCACTGATTTAGAGGCTCTAGTAGACACCAATGCCTAAAAAGAAGAAAAAAAAAAAGAGAATCGAATGAGATGCTAAAGAAACAAGAGAGAATGTTCTCCTAACCATGTTAATTAATATCTGAAAAAAATCTAGCCTCAAGGGAATAATAATATAATAAATAGAATCTAACCAAGTTAATTAATAACTGAAAAAAGGGCTTTTTTTCCCAAAAAAGAAACCTAAAGCTTCATTAGTAAGACAACCATACTTAGGAAAAAAGGTTGGAGCAATGTATATATCTACTTATGTTGGTGGAAAGAATCTGTTGAGATTAAATGGCAAAGTATAGAACTCTTCGTTTCGATTATCGCCTCTAAACGTTCTGAACTTGGCCCACCACGGCATTCCTCGGTCCTTCTTCGACTTCTCAACCTCTATCGTATTATCTAGTAACACTGCCACCATCAACCCAACCGTCGGAGGCGACATGAATATCGTGTTCAAGAATGCATTGAACTGCAACAACAAATATTAAATAAAATAAACGACAACATTAAAGAGAGTAAATTATTTTGTCGGTGTGACGACAAAAGAAAAACAATACTCACCCATCCAGCATTAGTGTGAACTAGGCCACGACGATGAGGAGTCCAATACTCATCGAAAAAATGAGGAATTGAGATTCCGAGAAAAAGTGAGAGACCGATTATAAAGAGGTTCCTCATGGAATTCATATTAGTGAATTGAAGAAATGATAAGCCAATCGAACCTGCAGATTATTACGTAAACAACAAAAATTGTCACAAAAGTGATCGATTAAAATCTCGAGAAAAAAAGTATACTCTTAATTTGTTTTACATATAACATCATACCTACAAGTCCGAATAGAACACAGTACAATGCAGCATATATCGGAAACGGTATAGATGCAAAAACAGCTCCAAATTTTCCTGCAGGAAAAAAATAAATAAAAAATGAACATGTAAGCGAATGATTTATCATACGTAAAAACGTAATTCACCAGTCATTACAGTACTTGTAATAATTGTAGTGATAGAACTAATAATAATCCAAGAACAATTAGATGATAAATGTGTGGTGAAAAGCCAGCTGATCACAATAATGACCTAAGATGGAAAAGAATATCATGAAGCCAGCCGAAATCTGCACCACTCTACGGCTTCCCACTCGAGTTAGTCCAAGAAGTCCCACGTTTTCCCTGTAAATATGTCCTCGATTTTTTTAGTTTTTTTACCAACCGAATAATATTAATTAATATATACTGATCATATACATACACAGAGACTGTAGAGCCAGTGCATGTTCCAAAAAGACCGTCTAGCATAATACCTATTCCCTGCAAAGATGAAGCCATGAGCTCTTTAAGAGGCCGCCATTGCATTACATGAAACTTAATGGATTTATTACAGCATTCTTCAGTATATTTAAATTTTATTTTTATTTTTAATTCAAAAGACGAGAAACCAGAGTTGAGAGTAATAAACAGGTGTACCTGCCAACCGATGCCCCGACTGAGTACATAGGCAGGAGGCGGGGTGGCTATTGCCAGACGAGATGCTGCCTGGTAAGCTCCGGTGGACTACAGAATACAATTGAAGTCAACATATACGTATAACGAGGATTTGAATTGAGTTAAGTGTAAGTGTTAAAAAAAACGAAATGTTTTTATTACCTCAACCATTGAGACAAGAACAGCAGACATCATTGCAATGGAATGACCAGCTGCAAAAGTAGGCGGACCCCACTGAAGAGGATAAGGGAACTTAAACCTTAAAACACAAAAAAACAATAGACATTACACATTCGATTCATGCGAAAAACTTAAGTCAAATGTTGTAAGAAAATCCCTCAAAATAATAATATATAAAAAAAAAAAAAAAAACCACAAACCATGGAGCTGTCGAAATGAGACCGGCCCTGTCAGTACGACAACTTATCTGAGTAGCATTTGGTTTGTCACGGTAAGCTTGACTAGCCGTTAGTATGAGAGCGTATATCCAAACAATAGATACACTGATCAATACAGGGAAACGTTCGAATATGGGGAAGTCCCTTATCGGTTTTATATGCTTCAGATACTGCACAAAGGGTAAACTGTTATTATTACTTGTATGAATGCATGTCCCGAAAAACTTTAAACTTGAATCATTCGGAATTTGCTCACTTGTGAAAATCCAATAACTAATATAAGCATCGGCAAACCAATTTCCACGCAATTTCCTAGCTGCAAAATAGATTATATAGCATGTCATAAGTTGTACATTTTTCAGACATATTATAATATAATCTAATATTTGACTTACTGCAGGAATCCTCGTTGAAATAAGCCCAAACCGACTAATCCAACGACAGGTGCCATTCCAAGAGGACTGAAAAAGCTGTGAAGAAACAACCAGGCTAAATATTCATGAATATATATGTGGAATATTCCACCGCCGAAAACATATATATATATATATATATATATATATATATATATATATATATAATAGTTGGATATGGAAAAAATATATATACCGTGAAAAGAGTCCCCATACTTGGCTGTATCCTAGGATTATCTGTATACTCGAAGCAACAATTAGAGCTCCTTGGATAGCTCTCATAGTGTGCATAAATCTCTGCAGAAATATATATATTCGAACGAGACCGATTATTTATGCTTACAAGTAGTTCTTGATTGATAATCATATGTGAAGCAAGTTCTTGATTGATCGATCGATCGAATGAAACAGGTAAATTAACGTACTAAATGAGGGTCATGAATCCGTAGTAACGAAGAGTCGTTAATGATATATGCTATGGGGACAACATAAGCAAATGAGCCTCCAACAACAGCAGGTAACCTAGTACCAAACAGTGTCTGAAGAAGGGTTTTAATCCCAGCTACGAAAAGCAACGTTTGAATAACCCGTGCTTTGTCACCCTGTTTGATTTTGTTCTATGTTAGAGTAAGAAACGAAGCTAATCGAGCGAGCTTCGTAAGTAAGTGAAGTCAAAGTTAAGAGAAAGCAGCTTACTTACATCACTTCCACCCATCATAGGGACGAGCAACGTCGGGATCATCACACTCGTGCCAACTACTAGAATGTAATTCTGAAACGCTAACAAAATCGTTTCAGCTGCAAATTTACGGGTGGCAAAAAAAAAAATCGAATCAAAATTACATTTGAATCAATGAGCAATTAATCAAAACTCATCCATACATTCAAACATTCATCACATGATAAAAATGGCAATAAATCAAAAATTCCAAATTATTAATCTAATTAAAGCCATGAATAGAACATTCATTAATTCCGACATCGTAAATTTTATAGCTGTTATCAGCTGAATAAATGTCTCTCTATTAAATCCACACAACACCGATTTTTTGAATTTTTTTTTCCTTTTAAAGCCAAATTCCACACCCCCACCCCGCCCCCCAACCCCACCCCCACCCCTACCTAGCAAGTAGCAACGGACAGATGGAATATACTAAATTGTAAATTGTAAAAAATCGGAGGATCAAATGAAAAACACACACATACACACAGCAATCGTCAATTAATCCGATCAAAGTGTACGTCTAGTGTGTGTGTAGTGTGTGAAAAGGGAAAGCAAAATTAAAATAAAAAAGATGAGACGTACGCCATGGAGGATTAGAATCAATGCAGTACTCGAGGTCTTGAAGCTGCTCCATGGGTGGGTGTAAAATGTCACCCATTACTGTGTGTTTCTGTGTGAATAATATCAGAGAAGAAGAAGAACGAAGAAGAAGAAGAAGAAGGTAAAGCAACAAACAGCAGATAAAAAAGAAAAGTTGGGAAATTAAAGTGCAGTGGAGAAGAATATATAAAAGGGCGAAGAAAATATGCCAGTCGTATATATACTGCACACAAAGCAAACAGATGGAATATAAATAAATGCATATATATATACATACAGGAGAGGAGAGGAGTACTTTTAAGTTTTAACTACGTTCCTCATATCAAGCGATCGATAGGCTTTTTTATTTTTGAATTTCTTCCAAATCCGTTATTTTGTTTTTCATATCCGCCACTCTTTCTCAACCTATTTACAGTCTTGCCACTTTAAAAGTGGACTCCATATTTTTTTCTTTTAATTTTCTAGGCTCCTAAATCCTATTTAATCTTTTATTTTTTTTATTTTTTTTTATAAACTAAAATCATCATTCATTAAAGGGATGTTCAGCTTTAATAATATCGTTACGACTTCAAACATGATTTTGATTATTTTTTATTGCAAATTTTGCAAAACCCAAAAAATAGAATTTGTAGTATTCTGAGTTAGTTTTCTAATCCAACTTGAATCACAAAAATTTGATGTCAGACGAGAAAGATATACATGAATCAATGGATACTGCCCACAACTTTGATGTATTGATGTATCTAAAATAAAAAATGTGATTAATTCATGCATAACTTTGTCACACGTCATCCAATCTAGCGGATTTAAATTGGATTAGAAAGCTAACTCAAGGACTACAGTTTTCGTGTTTTGAATTTTGCCAAAATCAAAATAGAAATATGTCAAAATCAGGGTCAAAGTCAAAACGACATTAGTAAATTTGAAACGACATTTAACATTTGGGGGCAACTATTTCAAATACTAACTTTTGCTTACTTGAATACTACCAAGTTTAAAACCAAAATTGAGTACATATTTATCAGTTTTTTCTTACTTTAATACCAAAATAAAAAGAAACTACAAAAACACCCTTTCATACAAAATATCAATTATATCAAATTTTATTAGAAATTACCTATTCAAAAACCAAATAAAAAAAAAGAAAAAAAACCCTTTGTTGTAAAAAAAAAACCTCCACCATTTCTTCTCCTCTCCAACCCTCACCGCCGACGCCGCCGCCGCCGAACGCCACCGTACGTGCTCGTAACTGCCGCGACAACCCAATTAAACCCTATTTTTTTCATCTTCTTAAATCCTCCAAAACATCTCCAAATTTTTTTTTTTACCAACAGTATTTTTTCGACACATACCTGTCGAAATTTGGAGAATTTTCGACAGGTATGTGTCGATTTTTTTTTAATTTTTTTTTTCCGACACGTTGGTGTCGAAAATTGACCAAAAAATCGACCTGTATGTGTCGAAAATTGCCGGCGGGTTTAAAAAAAAAAACTTCAAAATCGACTTTGAAGCTCAAAAAAGACATCGATACTTACCTTAATGTGTTCTCCTTTCATATATACTACCATATTATTGTCTTATAACTCAATTTTATAAGTTTTGTGAGATTTTAATTTCTTTAGTTTTGAAATTTTTTAGAAGGGTTTGTTGTGAGATTTTTTAGAAGGGTTTGTTGTGAGGAAGATTTTTTAGAAGGGTTTTTGGGGAGGGAGAAGAAGGAGATGGAGGAGGTGAGGGGTTTGTGAGTAAGGAGGGAAATGGTTTTTTTGAGTTTTTGATTATTTGGTATTTAAGAAAGAAAAATAGTATTTGTAATATTTTTTTTGGTTTTAATTTCATTAAGGGTATTAAAGTAATTTACAATTAATTATTTATTTTTTATTTTTTTTGGTATTCAAGTAAGCAAAAGTTGGTTGGGATTTGAAATAGTGTTCCCCTTAACATTTCAATTCATTAAAAGAAGGAAAATATTCAGATACAATCAGTCTCCACTACTTACTACTTTTAATACAACAAATTAAAAAAACATAAAAATCAATTGAAACACTAGAATCATAGGCATCAACTTTATTGAGCCGTTGACAGATGGCAGAGGAGGCTCCAACACGTCCTTGTCCGTTAGAATCGGATTTGGAGCCTTTGCTAGAGGCAAGTCTTGGGCCGTCATATATTTAATAAGGCCCACCGGCTGTGGAGGCCTCATATATAATGGGGCATCTTTGTATCCTAGACATCTGTTCCCTGTAGATAAAAATAAATAATAAATCAAAGTTGTCAACTATATTAATAACACTAGGACTTACTTGTAAATTCGGCAGCCGTTGCAGGGTAAGGTGTGACGACACCGTCAATTCCCATCGCAACGACGTAGGAGTAAATTTCCAAACATGGATTGTACAAAAAGTCCCAAGGCTGGGACACAAACTCGTTTTGGAAAACTGCACATAGACTTTGAGATCGAAGTCGTGCAGTTTTTGTACAAGGTCCGTTTTACGT